TTTCAGGAAGAGTTCAGCTTATTTCCGTGCGAGGTGCGGCCGAGGGCTGGAATGCCTAGACGTTCGCTACTCAACACACTCAACTGCACATAACTGAAATTCACATTTGATTGTAAATATGTAACAGTTGCGTAAGTACCCATTTAGAGGCACAGCAGGTATAGGTAAGTATGTAGACACAGACATTTCTCTGTCGTCATAAAGCTTTATACTTTAGCTATGCCCCAAGCACTCCACTATTAAATTAAAAAATAAGAGAATTGTTGAGGCGTTGACAAGCTGCCAGGTTCTTGAGGACACTAGAGTTGGTGGCCCTCAGGTAAATTCAGGTTTCGTATGTTCTACCGTTACCGGTTCTACCGGTACCGGTTACCTATGTTCTACCGGTTTCGTTATAGTATACCAAACACTTTCCGTCTGTATGTTACTAATGGATTACACACAGAGATCACACTAACGTGATGCATCAAATGAACAAATCCACAAATTTTAACCCTGTCGTAGCTCAGTCGATTTAAGGCAGTGTCTGGGATGCTCCCGGACGCAAGTTCGAATCCTCGTCACGGCCCTTGTGGATTTGTTCATTTACTAATGGATCTTGTAGACCAAGCATGTCAAACTGAGGGTCCCCCGAAGGCCATATGGGTCACATTTGTGTTGTCATGAGGGTCACACACCACAACTAATTGAAGTCATTTAATAAAAATTATTGCAGAATATTTTTATTACTTAAACTTAGAAACTTTTAATGTACATATAAAGGGTTTAGTGGCTAAACACATTCGTGAATGCAAAGTAACGAAGTAGTTTAACAAAAGGATAAAAACGAAATTTTAAACGGCAACATAGACTTCTATGCAACAGCAACAAATACATTGTATAAAAGTTACTAAAGTTCAAAATGAACATTTATTTACGACTAGTCAATCATGTTTAGTCCTGAGGCTTGGCACCTTCTTTTAATGACAGTTTTGCTATGTCATAATGCTAATGAAATATCTTTGAACAAGTGTGCTGTCTCTGGACATACACAATCTGATCCTTTTTTACAAAGGCATTGCTTTACCAAATCTCCTTCACTGTAAGATTTCCCACCCATGGCGATCATTGGGCTGAGTTCATAGCCTGCAGTAATGGAAGCCACATTCCCTTTCTCAATTTTCGTAAAACAGGTCTGTTGCTGTCTCAAGTTAGCCTTCAATTCCTTGAGTCTTGAGACACACATTGGGTCTTCATACTTCATAATGTCTTTTCAAGATGTACTCTTTTTTGGCGTGGTTATGCTGTTGTTGCAAATTAAACAATGTATCTTACCATTCACCATTGTGTAAAAAAAAGTAATTCCAATTTTTCTTGAAACACTCGTCCTTCTTCGTTCAATTTCCCTTTTCTCTTAACTGGAGGAGCGTCAGCCATTTTAAAGATGATGTGGAATCTGAAAAAAAAATTAAAAATAAAATCACCGGTTAAAAAACTGAAATTTCGGGCAGCTTTACAGTTAACGTCATGTGTATATTTAGAGGCGTTAATTAACTCGCTTACCGCGCAGCTGCATTCGTCATTTTTTTGTGCTTTTGAAATCTATTAAAAGGTGATAACTTAAATGATATAAACTGCCATTTTTGGCCGTTCAATGACCAAATTACAGTATTCTCTGTGCGGGACGCAGGTGTGCTTGCCGCATGCGGCCCGCGGGGCGCAGGTTTGACATGCCTGTTTAAATAAATGTAAAGACTTCCATTTGTTTTTTTTTTAAATGTTTTCGCTCTTCTATTTTTGTAATTAACGCAAACTTTCAGGACCCGAACTGAAACTAGCAGAAAGTTTTTTTTTTTTTTATCCAGTTTGCATCCTTCCGAGCCTTGCAAGTTTATTTTTTTATCTCGACCTAATTGCTGAGACGAACATGAACTGATGGCGTTCGAACTTTTCCCGAACAGTGCTTCGCTAACTTCCTGTGTTCGAATCGTTCTTTTATTAATGCTTCATCAACGTACTGGAAATGCAAATAATAGACAGTTGGCAGGATGAACAATCCAGCTTTGTCAAGGGTACAAATGACAGGAATGAACAACCCAACGGGATTTCTTCCTATCTGGGGGTATTGTACATGTTCCCAATGAGTTATGTTCACTCACAGGATGAGTGATGCAAACCAATACATACAAAATTAAGAAACAAAATCCCCATAATTAATTTACATTACAGTAACTTTGGATGAATTTAACGTTTAAATGATATAAAAAATGACATTAAATGCTAATTGACCGACTGGACTGAGTGCTGTACTGATAATTGACTTCTCAAAGTTGCTGAATGACCTTTAAGACGTGTACTTAGATGAGTAAGGAATCTTGTGAATTACAAGGTGTATGGAGAGAGAGAGAGAGAGAGAGAGAGAGAGAGAGAGAGAGAGAGAGAGAGAGAGAGAGAGAGAGAGAGAGAGAGAGAGAGAGAGAAAAAAAAAAATGAGAAGCATCATTTAGTGAAGAGCAAATCTGCATTTCCTCTGAACTTCTCAGCGGCGTCCAAATAATAATTTATGAAACTGTATTATCTTACCTATTAAGATACTCACGCATATTAAATAGCCTGCCACTGCCGCGTCCCAAACTATGTATGTCTGTGTGAATTAAAACTTATTTTCAAGTTCTGAGATTAAAGAAAATTGCAAACTTGTTGTAGAGTGTCTGATTGCCACCTTGTCCTGCATTTATTTGCGCATATGTTGCATTGATCCCAAGTCGGGTCACAGCCGAATGATTTCGCGTTCAATATACGCGGCTCTACAGAAACGCTTAGGCATTATGGGAAACAATAAAGTGAACATCTCCGGTTGTGATAGTTACCCCACGTGGCTAGTCCTTATCCAGGTTTCCTTTGATGGAGTCTAGCATCTAAGATGTTTTCTCACACATCCTGGCGCCTCAGTCATTCCTTCTCGTTGCTTATCCCGGCTGATGGTGCTGGCATCAAGGAAAACCGAAAGCCCTGTGGGTAAAGTTCTTCAGATCTCCAACTTGAAGACGATTATAACATTCTCTGGGATTTGCGAGCAACGCTGAGACCGGAGCTCGTAACTACGTGAAGATTAGGCATCATCTTAAGATGGAGCGTCGGCCCTCAGGACTGTTGCCTCGGGTATTAAATATGATTACACATTCACATTATTAAATATTAATACACATTCTATTTTCGAACGTTGCAATATATGGACAAGTTTTTCAATGCAATTGGGCAAAAGTAAATGTGGAGACGAAGAAGATTATTGTGTTATTGGACTTATAAACAAAACAAAAATCGCAGTCAAGGGTTTGTTGATATTATGATATGATAAGAGTTTTATGATTATGATAGAGTTGATATGGAGTTGTAAATAAATTCACTGGGAGTTGTATTATTCATAACTGTAATTTACAGTTTGTTAATATTTGATTATATAGTTAGTAGGCAGTCTTCTTCAGGCGAAATGTACTGTTCAGAAGCCGTTAAACGTATCCTATCTGAACGGAACCTAACCGGCTAACCAAACCTAACCTAACCTAACCTTACCTAACCTTACCTTACCTAACCTTACCTAACCTTACCTTACCTTACCTTATCTAACACCACCTAACACGGCACCGAAATACCGAAAACAAAACAAAATATATTTGTTTGGTAGGCTGGCCGGAAGCCAGGCTACTGTAATGGCCAGCTTTTTCCCCTCTCTCTTCCCCTCTCCTTCTCTCTCTCTCTCCCTCTCTCTCTCTTTCTCCATTCCCCTTGACGGCTGGAGGCATTTCTCACGCCACCACAAGCGTTCTTGCGTTTGGTGCTTATGGCCAGCTCGGTCATGTGGACCTCTACTCCCTCTCCCTCCCTCTCCGTTCCCTCTCCTCTCTTTCTCGATTCCCCTTTATGGCTGGAAATATTCGTCACGCCACCCAAAAGTCATAAACTTTGGGCTCTCAGGGTTCGCCTGGAGTGCTGGTTGCAAGTGAGGTCTGTGTCAACATATTTGGTTCGAGGCAGTTCATCCAGTTTTCGTAAGAAAACCCTGCCTCTTGGCAGTCTTCAAATGTTTTAATTGGTCAAGAGCGAGGCCCTTGGATTCATTGGCAGGGAGGCCAGAGCACCTTGGCCTGGTTTAAAGTGATTGGGTGTAGGTCTAAAAGAGGCGAAGTTTCCTAGGACCAGACAAGCTTTAGTGGGTGGAGCCAGAGCCTTACCTTGAAGGAGTCAGACAAAAATTGAGTTTGTGTGATTTGGGTTGTGGTGAGAGCAACGGTGGACACCACACCATAGAGAAAGCCCCCACACCGGCTGAGTAAGGATGAGATAACGAGCTGTGTTGAGTTCATGTACAAGTTGGTGTTCCTATTCCATTGTATCAAAGGATAGGATGTACTTAAGTGACATTTTTGAGTAATCAAATTTCATAAAGTTGTTCTCCTCTGTGTTATACATTTCCCTATATATTTCTGAGTCCTTGTGTTTGTAGTGTTAGGAGCTCCAGTGATTCGACGAGTCCTATATGTGTTAAATACTTCCCTGGTCTTACTTTAGCAGCATTTGAATGAATCCCATCTATTCTTCCCAGTAATTAAGATCTAATTCCCTGCTAAGGATAGGGTAATTGACTCCTCTTCTCCTGAGTCAAGTAGTTCAATTCCCCCATATTAGGAGAAGTGGTGGCAGTGTTAATTATTAAGTAATTTGTGTCTGAGTAACATATATGTTTTGTGAGATAATTAACTCACAGCTTGAAGGGTTACGGCTTATAGCCGCAGTGATTGGTGTACACATGCCCTTCTTGATCACACGACAACACGTACAAGGGTCACAGTACCACACGTCACAACGGTACCAGTGTGAGGTTCCATTGGTAAGCTACAGTGGTGTAGCCACCTCAGGTAAACGGTGCACCATACTAACGCTACACTACAGATTAAGATTATTATTATGTGGACAATCAACCTTTTTTTTCTATTACCTGTGATTGTATTGGTTTCTCGCAGCTGCAGGGCGTTGAGGACTCCCTCGAACATCTTCATCGTCAACCTGGCCATCAGCGACTTCCTGATGGTGGGGCTGGTCTCCGCCTGTGTCTACAACTCATTTCAGGAGGGACCCGCCATAGGCAAGATAGGTGAGTCTGTATTATATACCTAAGTGAGTATATTCTGGACAAGCTATGGGCGTATGTTCTGGCCAGATACGTGAATTTTTACCAGACACCTAAGGGAGAGAGAGAGAGAGAGAGAGAGAGAGAGAGAGAGAGAGAGAGAGAGAGAGAGAGAGAGAGAGAGAGAGAGAGAGAGAGAGAGAGAGAGACAGAGAGAGAGAGAGACAGAGAGAGAGAGACAGAGAGAGAGAGACAGAGAACTAAAGCTAGATAGGAAGAGAATATAATATAAAGGCCACAAGAATATTTGCACACTTTTTTCGACAAATAAAATGCCTGGTGAAACAAGGTAGTTAGGGCAGACCGCAGAGAATGAGAGATAACGATCTCGGTGGGCTGGCTGTTAACGACACAGTCAGCACTGAACGGCAGCAGTCAATGGGAAAAAGCCAAATAGAATAGCGAAATACATTGAAGGAACACACGAAACATTTTAAGTGGTGAGCCCCACGCCGTGGATCAGTGATCTCAGATCCACACACTCGATCCTGATCTATGTTCCACTGACAGACAGAGAGACAGGGTGCGTGCTGCCACCAGATAGGAGCCACTAGAGGCTCAAATATCACAGAGAAAATGTGATGGAGATCAGAGAAGAGGCCAGAAAGGTTTTGGAGGACAGAAAGGTTTTGGAGGTCAGAAAGGTTTTGGAGGCCAGACAAGTTTAGGAAGCCAGAAAAGTTTTGGAGGTCAGCCAAGTTTTGGAGGCCAGAAAGGTTTTGGAGGGCAGACAAGTTTTGGAGGCCAGAAAGGTTTTGGAGGGCAGACAAGTTTTGGAGGCCAGAAAGGTTTTGGAGGTCAGACAAGTTTAGGAAGCCAGAAAAGTTTTGGAGGTCAAACAAGTTTTGGAGGCCAGAAAAGTTTTTGGAGGTCAGAAAGGTTTTGGAGGCCAGAACAGTTTTGGAGGTCAGACAAGTTTTGGAGGTCAGACAAGTTTTGGAGATCAGAACAGTTTTGGAGGCCAGAAAAGTTTTGGGGGCCAGAAATGTTTTGGAGGCCAGAAAGGTTTTGGAGGTGAGAATGGTTTTGGAGGCCAGAAAGGTTTTGGAGGTCAGAAAGGTTTTGGAGGCCAGAATGGGGGGCAGTTAGTGGAGAGTAGAGAAGAGACAGGTGTTCATCCACCTCAGCAGGTAGGGATCGGGTTCTGAACGTGTATACCTCCTCACTTCAACCCAGAGACCTGTGAGGAAAGGGGCATTGGTTATCCTGCAGTTATACTGGCTATGCTAGGTATAATTCCCACATTTTAACTTTCTGGCTACCTGATATCAACTATCCCTATGACTACACCACACTCTCGTAATAATCCCGGATCATGTCACAGCCATAGTCGGTGAAATGATCATGGATTATGGCTTTATTATTATTAACATCTTTATTGACAAAATTAATTACAATTTTGCCTAATCTGAGGATTTTGATAGTCTTATTAAAGTGAGGATAATGCTGGTATTTACTGTCACGCAGGACAGAGGGTCATACATAAGACAATAGGTCTAAACTGTAGGCTGAAGCACATATATATCATGGTTACAATCTAGTCTTCATTCTCCTAGCAAATATTGAATGCCTAAAATTTCGGTTATTGTGAATATTCTAGCGCTCTGTGTTTGTCCTTTAACGTCTCTGGCTACCACTGACGTTCCCTCTCTGGATGGTGCAGGGTGCGACGTGTACGGGTTTACTGGGGGCGTCACGGGGACCACCTCCATCATGACCCTCGCTGCCATCTCCTTTGATCGCTACCTCGTCATCTCCTTTCCCTTGGACCCCCTTAAGAAACTCTCCAGCAGGCAGGTAAGGCAGGGTGTAACACTGTAAAAGTGTTTGAGTTAGGAGTACATGAGTCACAGACAAGGATCTGAGAGGCGCCAGTTGTCTGCCTGAGATCTCACACCTCAAAGCGTTAATGACCTCAAGTGACCTGAGGTCAGATCATGACAATTTCACCTTGCTTCCGCTAAGCTTATAATTGTAGTCTGGTAGCCTTCAAACATGCCGACGTTTAAGGAGTGGCTTGGTAGTGCCGGAGGCTATCTACTTGTGGGCGGAGTTAGCTACTAGGTTCCCCAATATAAACTCGGAGAGCTATCCAGCAGAAAGCATTAACAGACAGAGCAGCAGACGAGAGAGAGACGACGTCCCTACCAGGGAGGCTGTCGGCCGGCAGGGGCGAGACAGTCTCTGTCAAGCTACAGACCCCCCCCCCCCCCTCTCTATTCAACTTAGACTCAGTACTCGGTGAGTGAACATAAGGTGACTTGTCGTGTTTTACAAGTGTTGTGTGATGATCAGGGGCAGTCAAGTTGTAGGGTTCTCGAATTCTTGGATGATGACTCACTTTGCATATTAAACTGGAACATTTTAATTGAATTTTAAATTATGATACTTCATGTGAAATATAATTATGAATTTATTATTTAAATTGTGTTTAACTTTGTTCCCTAGAGCTTTGAGTTGAGGATTTGAGAAAGCCTCTGTGATTATTGGTTTCATGATTTAATGAGTACATGGTTTAGAATGATACATGGTACAGAGGGAACATACTAATAATGAACTCATGGTAATAACATCTTTTGAGAATATTTTGTGATACAGGCAAGTTCCATTCCTTGTCTTGTATGTAATGATCATGAATGGATGGTGGCAGCATTTCGTCTTCTACTATCAACTCTTCTACTTCTACTATCTACTCTTCTACTTCTACCAATCTACACCTCTCCCTCCACCCCCTCTCTAAACTCTCACTTTCAACTAATGACCCTCCTCGCTCCTCCCACCTCTCTCCCTCTCACCCCCAGCCCTCACTAATTACTTCACTATTCATTTCTTTCCTTTCGTTTTCTCTTATGCGTTTGTGGCAATGATTCTGTATTCTAGAGTTCTCTCTAGAGTTTCGGGTAACTGATCAAGTGACGGCGCCTTGTAGTCTTGGAACCTAGGTAGTCAAATACCTAGGTTACAAGGTGTTGAACGAGAGAGGTTGCCTTAGGAACTCTGGGAGTGCTCTAGAATAGTTAGCTAACTGGGGACGGGATAACGGACTAGAGAGAGCTGTTTCCCCCGGTCTCGTTAGTTAACTGGGGGGGGTGGAATAATGGACAAGATAGAGCTATTTCCCCCACCCCCCGTTACAATGGTGGCAGCGGTGGGATCATGGAGCGTAATTGCAAGACAGGATCGTTTGCCTTAACTGGCCGCCCCTCCTACAAGCATGTTGCTCTGTTGAGTGATTCTTCCTGTGTCATGCGGACTTGATGTGGCTGTCAGAAGTAGCTCTCTGAAGGAGGCGTGCTGGAGCAACAGGGAGGAAGAAGAGTAGGATGGGATTTCTACTGTTGGCAACTATATGAAGGTCTCGAAACTTGTAGTCCCTATAGCTGTGAAGAACCCCAATATACGTCTCTCATGGTGACTGACGTAGGGCCAATTACAGATCAGCTGGGACAACCGAATTCCACGGTCCTGTGCTCAGTTCAAGTAGTAACGGCTTTCGGGTTGACCAAGTGTTGTTGTGCGTTAACGACGGAGAAGCGACGGAGGCAGTTGTGTTGAAGAAATGTGGTACAGGATTATCTACAAGACCAAGCAGTGACGTCGCCCAGCCAGAGACAATGGACGTCTGTCTATATATTTCATTTTTTAGAGTAGGATGATGTATATTTGTTTAGCTAGGATGTATTCTTTTCGTTAATAAAGTTGTCGCACACGGCTAGCTTGCTTTAGCAGTGTTGCAAAAACTTTATTTTCGGGGAGAAGGGGAGATGTAACACTGTAAAAGTGTTTGAGTTAGTTTATTTAAAATATATATAGAGTACATGAGTCACAGACAAGGATCTGAGAGGCGCCAGTTGTCTGCCTGAGATCTCACACCTCAAAGCGTTAATGACCTCAAGTGACCTGAGGTCAGATCATGACAATTTCACCTTGCTTCCGCTAAGCTTATAATTGTAGTCTGGTAGCCTTCAAACATGCCGACGTTTAAGGAGTGGCTTGGTAGTGCCGGAGGCTATCTACTTGTGGGCGGAGTTAGCTACTAGGTTCCCCAATATAAACTCGGAGAGCTATCCAGCAGAAAGCATTAACAGACAGAGCAGCAGACGAGAGAGAGACGACGTCCCTACCAGGGAGGCTGTCGGCCGGCAGGGGCGAGACAGTCTCTGTCAAGCTACAGACCCCCCCCCCCCTCTCTATTCAACTTAGACTCAGTACTCGGTGAGTGAACATTAAGGTGACTTGTCGTGTTTTACAAGTGTTGTGTGATGATCAGGGGCAGTCAAGTTGTAGGGTTCTCGAATTCTTGGATGATGACTCACTTTGCATATTAAACTGGAACATTTTAATTGAATTTTAAATTATGATACTTCATGTGAAATATAATTATGAATTTATTATTTAAATTGTGTTTAACTTTGTTCCCTAGAGCTTTGAGTTGAGGATTTGAGAAAGCCTCTGTGATTATTGGTTTCATGATTTAATGAGTACATGGTTTAGAATGATACATGGTACAGAGGGAACATACTAATAATGAACTCATGGTAATAACATCTTTTGAGAATATTTTGTGATACAGGCAAGTTCCATTCCTTGTCTTGTATGTAATGATCATGAATGGATGGTGGCAGCATTTCGTCTTCTACTATCTACTCTTCTACTTCTACTATCTACTCTTCTACTTCTACCAATCTACACCTCTCCCTCCACCCCCTCTCTAAACTCTCACTTTCAACTAATGACCCTCCTCGCTCCTCCCACCTCTCTCCCTCTCACCCCCAAGCCCTCACTAATTACTTCACTATTCATTTCTTTCCTTTCGTTTTCTCTTATACGTTTGTGGCAATGATTCTGTATTCTAGAGTTCTCTCTAGAGTTTCGGGTAACTGATCAAGTGACGGCGCCTTGTAGTCTTGGAACCTAGGTAGTCAAATACCTAGGTTACAAGGTGTTGAACGAGAGAGGTTGCCTTAGGAACTCTGGGAGTGCTCTAGAATAGTTAGCTAACTGGGGACGGGATAACGGACTAGAGAGAGCTGTTTCCCCCGGTCTCGTTAGTTAACTGGGGGGTGGAATAATGGACAAGATAGAGCTATTTCCCCCACCCCCCGTTACAAGGGGAGGAGAAGGAGAGAGAGAGAGAGAGAGAGAGAGAGAGAGAGAGAGAGAGAGAGAGAGAGAGAGAGAGAGAGAGAGAGAGAGAGAGAGAGAGAGAGAGAGAGAGAGATAGAGAGAGAGAGAGATAAAGTGGTGTATGTTTGTATTTATCTATTTGTGTTTACGAGATCGAGCTGCAGCTCTTGGATCCTCTGCCTTTCCCAATCATCGGTCATCTTGTGCAATGACTCCAGAAAAAACATTTCTCCTATCACATCTACTAATAAAATTATTGTATATCTCTGGCTTCCCTATACTCTCTCATTATATTCCTTTATTGGAAAACATCATCTGCTCTCCACCCTTTTTTCATTCTCCTATTTCCTGTCTCCATTTTCTTTTCACCTTTCTAGCGTCGTTAGGACAAACAGCGTCAATATTTCTTTATGCCATATCCCAAAGGAGGTAGGGAGTCGTCGCACTGTGGGACCGAATGCTAGCGAAGAAGGCGGGGTCCAAGAGCTGATGTTTGACCCTAAGTCCGACTCGTTGAGCAGAGTTAGGCGAATACAACACGGTGAGTTTAAGAAACGATGCCAGAACCCCTTTTCTCAACAAACGTACGACAGACGTCTAATTAGTACCGTTATCTACAAAAAAGCCTTCCGACATTCATTTCCACAAAAGCGAAATATCACAAAGAATGTCCACAATAAGGCTGAGCAACATAAAGAAAAACGTAAATCATGCCATGAAAATAAATCCTTTTTATTTACATCTTTAGATACATCCGCATATTTCCAACTGCTTTTGACTAAGTGAACGGGTACATAGTTTGATTGTCATGCTACCAGAATAGTAAACTACGATCTCATTATCTCTTTACAAACAATCCGGAACCCCTTCATCACCAGGACAGACAAAACATATCTAATGCAGACGAGGAGTTACAATAACGTGGCTGAAATATGTTGACCAAACCACACACTAGAAAGTGAAGGGACGACGACGTTTCGGTCCGTCCTGGACCATTCTCTAGTCGATTGTGTGACGAAACGTCGTCGCCCCTTCACTTTCTAATGTGTGGTTTGGTCAACAAAACATACCTAATTATTGCTATTAAAAACGAAAAAGACATATGTATGAAAACTCACAAGAACTCTCAAGGAAGAGTGTGTGGTCTTAATTGTGGACTATGAGTCCAATTATCATCTGATTTAAATTTACTATATTTGTCGTGAATTGTAGCTCTTATTAGCGTCTTCGTCAATCTGATTGTGTCAATGTGCGTGTGAGAGCCTGTCAATCAGCATCCATTAATTGGCACGCCTCTTCTTCCCTGCTGCAGGTGCTCAGCATCATCCTCCTCACCTGGGTGTACTCGGGGATCTTCTCAATCATGCCTCTAATGGGCATCAAAGGCATTACCTACTCCCCTGAGGGCTTCCTCACCACCTGCAGGTAAACGGCAAGGGGGGTAGAAATAGCCTAAGCTACTCTATCCTTTGAGATGTATTTCTTTCTTGTCTCAATAAACAAACCTGAACTTGAACACAATGGCATTCTCGTTGCCTTGCACTTAGTGATCCTTATTAATATTTGATTTAAAATAGGCTTATCACTGTAATTAAACCTTACAGTAAATATCATTATCATCATCATTCTCGTCTGTCAATCTCCCTCTTCCACTATATTTTCACCGAACTTCATATTTCTCTCTTTATTGCAGCTTCGACTATCTCTCAGAGGTAATGCGAGCCAGGGTGTACATTTTCCTGTTCTTCGTGGCCGCCTGGGTGTTTCCCCTCTACATCATCACCTTCAGCTACCTGTCCATCGTCAGCACCGTCGCCCAGCAGGAGCGACAGTACGCCTCCTACCAGGGCTCCTTCGCGAACTCATTCAGACATCGGAGTATTAAGAGGAAGAAGAATACTGAGGTCAGCTAAATTCTTAGTGTGTGTGTGTGTGTGTTTACTATTTGTGTCAGAACAAATAGACTCAAATACCCGTGTGTGTATTTACCTAGTTGTGCTTGCGGGGGTTGAGCTCTGCTCTTTCGGCCCGCCTCTCAACTGTCAATCAATCAACTGTTACTAACTACTAATTTTTTTTTCCACACACACACTCCAGGAAGCAGCCCGTAACAGCTGGCTAACTCCCAGCAGCCAGAAAGCGGCTCCTGTTATCTAGCTACTCACTGCTAGGTAACAGGAGCATCTGAGTGAAAGAAACGATGCCCATTTTTGTTTCTCGCCGGGAATCGAACCCGGGCCACATGATTACGTGTCCAGCGTGCTATCCACACAGCTACCGGCGACCACAGATGTATGCGCGCGCGCATGTGTGTATGTGTCTCTGTGTGTGTAGTTACTTTGGGCGTGAACCCACTCTTTGACTTCGAACGTGAACCCTTTTTAGGACTCTGTGGCCTTCCGGCCCACTCGTTGCAGTGGCTTGGCGGCGCTAGTTTCTTTGCCTTGTGGCATGTTTCATGTGTAGCCTTCCGGATATTTTCCTCGTGCTGTGCCGTGAGGCGTTTGTGGGGACATTCGAGTATACCTCGGATATATGCACCATTAGACCTGTGTGTGTGTATATGTACTCACCTATTTGTGCCTGCGGGGGTTGAGTTCTAGCTCTTTGGTCCCGCTTCTCAACTGTCAATCAACTGGTGTACAGGTTCCTGAGCCTACTGGGATCTATCATATCTACACTTGAAGCTGTGTTTGGAGTCAGCCTCCACCACATCACTTCCTAATGCATTCCATTTGTCTACTACTCTGACACTGAAAAAATTCTTTCTAACGTCTCTATGGCTCATTTGAGCACTCAATTTCCACCTGTGTCCCCTAGTGCGTGTGCCCCTTGTGGTAAATAGTCTGTCTTTATCTTGTGCGTGTGTGCGCGTGCGTGCCGTGAACAAAAACTGGAGAGGGGAAGCGGAGGATTATGGAACACTTAGTAAGGGGAGAATGGAAAATGACATGTTCCATAGACGTGTGGTCGTGTTCAGGCAAATTTCTTAAATAGAGATAAAAAAAGAGAGAGAATGCTGACCGGAATTGGCGGCGGTGAGGGCCAAGGGCAAATAATAATATCGCGGTTACCTTGCGATGATTTCGGGGCTCAAGGTCTCCCGCGGTCCGGTCCCCAACCAGGCTGTTGGACAGGGCTGCTGGTTAATCAGGAAAAAACCTTAAACACACACACTCGAAAATTGTAAAATACTATATAACCAAAAAACATATTTTCTCGAAATTAATGTTAATCATTCAATTGTGTATTAGCCTAGAGTAGGTTAAATTAGGCATTTTGATTCTCAGAAAGTTTGAAGGTAAGCAACTCCGAGAGCACGTGTTATATTGGTATTCTGTCATATACATTCTGTGTACTCTCGGGGTAATCCCCGGGACTTAGACCCTCGTATTGTGTAATTGTTACGGCGACCCCCTTCTCTCCCGTGCGGAATTGTTGACAAAACATTATTTCTCTTGAGTATATTTTTGGAAAAAGTTCTAAAATTTGGGGAGAAATATGCTAGATAATCTAGGTCTCTAGCTAGGCCTTGGGGGAAGGGGGTAGGGGTTGGGAGGGGAGTGTATCCCCAGTGCCCCCTATAAAAAATATATATGTTAAAAATATATATAAAAAATTATGCAAACAAAATATAGTTGTCTTAATTTCGGGGTGGGGTGGGGAGTTGGGGGAGAGGGGTGGTAGGGGATGGGGGGGGGGAAAGAGATGTAGTAGGTTGGGGGGGGGAGATTGGTGGTATGGGGTGGGGGGGAAGTGGCGGTAAAGGGTAGGGGGAAAGGGGTGGTAGGAGGGTGAGGGTAATTTTGTTTTGCACCGACAGACATCGTCCGGTTAAAGGCTAAAAATTCATCATGTTTTTTCACATAAACTTAATGAAACGTTTTTAAAGTATAAGTAAATAAAATTCATGCTCTCATTTGCTCAGCTTTGAGTGTGAGGCCCCCCCTCTTGAGCCACCCCACCTCCCCCGTTTCAAAATATGAGAACAGAATTTTTTTGCAAACAATATCAGTAAACTGTAAGGTGAGGATACTAGATTACACACACACACACACACACACACACACACACACACATATATATATATATATATATATATATATATATATATATATATATATATATATATATATATATATATATATATATATATTTAGCATGGCTTAGAAAAACATATATATCATTATACACAATATCATTTTGTTCACTTGGGCACTAAGAGCTTCGAATACCCAACATTTTCTAGCACATTAGACGGTTGCTCTATCAACTACGCCACTGGGTTAGCCTTAAAAGGGAAGAACTCCACAGCAACTAACTCGCTACCCAATAAAACTTGCCTTTCCTGTGCTGCCACAGCGTCCATCGCATGCTCCCCCCTTCAGCCCTTCCCAGAGCTTAACCCTTCCCCTCGGTCCCGGGACGCATGCACTCTCCCTCCTCCCCCCCCCCTCACACACCCCTCTTCCCATTAATCATCTCCCTTAATGTTGCTTCCCCCCTCCCTCTTCTCTCCAATCATCTTCCTCAATGCTGCCTCCGTCAGGTACAGCTGGCCAAGATGGCTTGTGTGATCATCGGGATGTGGGTGGCGGCGTGGACGCCGTACTCCGTGGTGGCCCTGCTGGGGATATGTAGTCAGCGGCACCTCATCACTCCCTTGGTCTCCATGGTGCCGGCGCTCTTCTGCAAGACGGCAGCTTGCTTGGACCCTTATATTTACGCCCTCTCACACCCACGCTTCAAGGTGAGGAGTGCTGAGTGGGGGGTTACAAGTCATTGATGATAGTTGGAGGGAATGGCTGGCAAATGGTTTTAAAGGTTCAATAAATTCGAAAATGGCTTTAACATCTTGCTGAAAGATGGGGGAGGGATGAGCATGGCTTAGAAAACATTGGAATAGATTGTAAAGGACTAAGGAATGGGTGTAAAGGCTGGGGGATGTCTTGGAATGGTCTGAGAAAGCTTAGATGGCTTTAAAAACAAGAGCTAAAAAACATTTCATTACGTCACGGATGGATGAACAGGATCCGTGTTCCAGGATCCAGGATCCGGTAAGCGTTTAAAACGCGACACGTAATATAGTGGCTTCGTTTAGAGGGACAAAAGTGATATAGAAAAAAGATTTAAAAAATAGAGTTGAAGATTGACGAGCATTAAGAGGGGGGGGGGGGGTGACGGCCTGGTCAACCCCCCTTAACTTAGGGGGTTGGCTAAGAATTAAGTCCAACAATCTTGGAAGTCTTAAATCCAACCATACTCATGCTTGTGAGAGCATTCATGAGTGTATGTGTGCACTAATTAGCAGTAGCCTTTGAGTCAGAATTTCACAAATAAGTAAATTATTACATATCTCTGCCCACTGATGAACTGTCATAATTAATATAGGCATATAACGATGACGCCACCATAAAATATAGGTAAATCATCTACTGGGATGATTGACACAGTGCACAAACGTTATAGGCACCTACTGTGCACTCTTTTAATCAAATCCCAGTGTCTATCCTCTCCTCATATCCCAGTTCCTATTATGTCGTCTTATCCCAGATCGTATCATATGCTACCTCCTAAATAATGTCCTCATATCCCCATCTAAGTTTGATAAAGTCATATTAACTTGTCATCTTCTCCACTTGATTACCTTCATCCTAGCTTAACCTCGATCACCAAGACGTGTGTAGATGTTATGACCTCTTGACCTCTCCGGTCATAACTACACCAATATATGCTCAGGGTAAAATGAAAATAATGTTCTGATTTTTCAAAATAAATACATATATTTTTTTATCTAAATTATTCTAAGTTCTGCCTGAAACGCTTTGCGTATCAGTGGCTTCATTTGTATATGTAAAGCCAGTACCAACATTGTCTCTTTATCCTATGTTCTTTGTACACATTAACGTGAATATAAATTATTATTATTATTATTTTCAAAACAAGGCAGACTCAGTGCACTACTCCAAATGTAGACATAACTGAAGGTTGTGAGGTGGGCATGAAGAGCTAAAGCTCAACCCCGACATGTATTGCCTAGCGTACTCAGCCCCTGAGTACACTAGACAATCCATACACTAGTGTAATCACGTACTACCCCGTCACTCACACACCCGACCAGCCATTCCCCCCTGCTCATCTGTGCTAACGAGCGTTCATTCCACAGAATGAGCTGAAGAAGCGTTTGTTGCCATTCCGGCGTACGTTCCAGCACACTCTGAGGAGCGACCTTAATCCAGGCTGCTCCATCAGCAACTTCAGCGACATCAGGGAGGAACGGGAGCTGACGGAAGCTCAGGTGGGTCTCGGGGACGTGGGTATGGCAGCGTCTGGATGCTGTCGTTGCTTAAGATTCAGCTACTCGGATCAAAAAATTCCAAGTAGCACGGGCTATGGTGAGCCCGTAGTGGACTTACCTGGCACGGGAGCGGGGCTATGGTGAGCCCGTAGTGGACTTACCTGGCACAGGAGCGGGGCTGTATGTTCCAAGCGTCTGGCCGTTCAAGATAATAGCCTTTAATTTTATTTTATTTAATGACCGGTAATTTATAATTACCGGTCATTAGATATCAGATTATATATATGGTTGTGCATCAGATGTATGAGACGTTAGGATTATGTACCTGAATGATTCGAGGACTGCCTGTTAATACGTCATGAATAACATTGAATTCAATAATATCACGAATTATCTCTTGAATATCACGAATATAATTTGAATAGATTTGTTGAACGTGACTAAATGTCAGTTCCCTAAAAAATAATGAGAGAGAGAGAGTAGGCATCCATCAGTCTCAGGAGACTATGGCGTTGCGATGAACGCTTATAAACGCTTATATAATATAATGAACGCTTATGAAAGTGGACAGGAATGAAAATACTATACAAAGTGTCACGTGAAAGAGCTAACAAGTGTTACTTTGTGTTTCTTCTCCTCAGGGATGGGAGACTACGGACCCGTCTTTGCCTTCCCTCGGGCCTCTGCTGCAGAGGACCTCCATCTCCTCCAGCAACCCAAGGCTCAGCCACAGCAGGGCTTCCAATGGCTCCTGCTGCTCCACTGGCAGCAGGAGCCTCATCTCTCCTACACTAGTGGAACTCTACCCCAGGAGATCCATCTCCTCCTACTGCTTCAGGGGAGCATCGTATCACTTCAGTCACAAGAAGGAGGTGTTGGGGAGAGGGAGAAAGGTGGTCCATCCCACGCCAAAGATGAATACAACAGCTATTGGTGATCTTCCAACCGGTGGGATGACCAGGCTGGTCTTTCCCATCAGATCCTCCTTGGGAAATGGTGACGAGTCTCGAGTCTCGACGAGACGACTCCAGCAGTCTCCCGCGACGGTGTGGGGTTCATCCCCGTCGCTGCAAGACGGTGCCTTTTGGGCGAAGGGCAACACGGACGCTGAGTTTGGGAAAGAGATGCAACTCTATCATTTCAGCGAGGACGGTCAAACAGATTATAAAAGTAATCCGGCGATGACTTTACTCTCCATCCCGACTGTGTCGAGCGCCTGTCGTCCTGACGGGAGGACCATGGTTCGAAGCAACAGTCTGCCGAATATAGTCCGAAAGCTGGGTGAGAGCAGAGGACGAAAATGATCCAAAAATATTTTCCTGTAGCTGTTATAGGGGAAAATAGTTCTTAAAGGCAGCACAAATAAAAGACATTCTTTATTTTTTATTTGTTTGTGTATTTTTCGCCCAACCACTTGGGCTGGAGGGTAGAGCGACGGTCTTACTTCATGCGGGTCGGGGTTCAATCCCCCGACTGTCCAAGTGGTTGGGCACCATTCCTTCCCCTCCCCCCCCGTTCCATCCCAAATCCTTATCCTGACCCCTTCCCAGTGCTACATAGTCGTAATGGCTTGTCGCTTTCTCCTGATAGATCCCTTCCTTTTTTTCCTTAAGACCAAAGACGTTTGGGAGATGAGTGATGAGTATAAGTGGTTTTGAAGCTCAGTACGTGAATGACGTTTAAACACCTTTGGTCACTTGAGATCTCAAGGAATCTTAGCAAAACCATATAACATCAAATGTCTAATTAAGTTCACGCTCTCTTTTTACAGCTGGACAATTAACCAATAAAAATAATCACCTTATGCAAAGTTCAAAAGATTATATAATATTTATAATTATTCAGCAATTAATCAATTCACCAGTCTACATAAAATTATGTTAAATCCTAGATTATTGGAAAATTCGCATTTGATCCACTGGATCACGAAGCGATGGCGTCATTATAGATGACCTGTTTCGACAGTTCTCATGTTAGCCAACTACATTATTACTTGCACGGGTGTGTGGTGGGAGGGTGAGATGGCGGGCGGGTGTGTAGTGGGAGTGTGGGACGCCGAGCGAAGTGATAAAGGGATGATCCGCTGTCTTCCGCAGGAACGCTCCCTAACATACCAACATGAATATCCGCTTCACGTTGCTCATGATGTATCACAGAGATACAATTACTGAGAAAATCCAAGGAAATGCAGTCTATTTCAGAGCAAAAACAGGGGCCCCCATGTGTCCTCTTGGGGCCCCCATGTGTCCTCTTGGGGCCCCACGAGCGACATGAGACGGCTGGCCCCTCAGAGCACCGCACCAATGCTGGTATGGACTACGAGGAAGCCCCAGCGGGCTCCAACCGTGACGGAAGAAGCTATACTCGACCACAAGTTTAGAAGAGCCGTATACAATTATAATCTAGAACAGGTAAAGGACAGTACAAGCAGCCGAGAATGCTAAATAACAATTACATCAACACGATCAAAGAAAACGAAGACTGGTGCACTATAAACATTCCAGAGAACAGATGGACAAGTACAAATGGATTATCAACACCAGCTACACCTAGAGAGAAGGAGCTCCTTATAGAGAGCAAACTCGTAAAGTAACAATGTCATGCAAAGTTACAAGGTGTCTCCTTGCAACTTTGAGTACTGGGTGGTAGGTCGCTGCGTCTGACAGGTGCCTGGCCATCTCCCTCTCGTAGCTTCCTCGATCCCATAGCACAACCGCTCACCCCTTTGTCGATTTGTTTTGGGGGGCGTTGTGGCTCATGACACGTGATTTCTGGGGTTGGTGCTTTGATGATAGTTTGAAGCATTATGATGTAGTTGTCGTCGTGGTTTGATCTACTATGGCTCAAGTGCTGTGTGTTGGTTTTGGTAGTTTCAGGGGTTCTCGGTGCCGTAAGTAGGGGGGAGGGGGGGGGGGGTGTCGGGAAACGTAATGTTGTGGCAAGGAGTGTTGGGTGGCAATTAGTGTTGTGGTGTGTGCTGTGGCGGTGTGACGCTGGGCTGTGTTGCGTTTGACGCAGTGCTGTGTTGTATGTGACATAGTGTTGTGCTGGTTGTGTTACGCATGGCGTTCGGAACGGCAGAAGACGGTGTTACAGAGAGAAGGGCTTCACCTACGGGAAATAGTCAAGGAATTTATCAGTGGTATTGACGGTAGCAGACGGATACCTTGGGTGGTTGGACAGTTACAGCTCCCTGTGACGGCTAAGAGCGCCAGTCAGCGTTAAGGTAAGTGGTTAGAGGTTAATAAATGAGTTAGAGTGGATAATAAATGCATTGTTTATTAACAACTACGTCACGAGTGTGGACGATATAGCATTGATTGCGTGTTTATGTACGAATCGTTAACAATATAATTATTGAAGGTGAAAGGAAAGACCTAATTTATGTTTAAGTGTATTAAAAGTCAAGTTTTCGGATTTAACATGCATCCTTTCTCAAGGTGCTGTATACAATGTTTTAACAACATATTGTATTCAGCGCTTTGAGAAAGGATAAAGGTTACATCCGAAAATTAGTTTTTTAATACATATATACATATATTGAGTATTTCCTTCACCTTCATTCAAGCTAATTTAATTTATTTTATATATGTGACTCAGGCATATAAGTTATTTTATCTTGTGTGCACACCTGTTGAATAATTTAATGGACTGAAACGATCAGGGAGGATTTTCAGTGAATAATGTAAAGGGTATATATATGGCATGGAGTGTATTATTTATGTATAAAACTTAATGCTGTACACAGAGAAGATGGTTCCACAGCAGCTACCTTACCTTGAGGTTACCTTGAGGTGCTTCCGGGGCTTAGCGTCCCCGCGGCCCGGTCGTCGACCAGGCCTCCTGGTTGCCTGGTTGCTAGCTGGTCATTGTTTCTTATTTGAAGCTACGAGTTCAATTAAATACTGTGATGGAATGTCTGCTGGACCAATTACAGACCAATAACCCCACGACCAGTAACACTGGTTATGTGAAGGAAGAAACACGTTGGCAGAAGAAGCTTTGTAATATATAATTCAGGGAGAACATGAGTCCGTATCAGGATGATCACTGTAAGATTAGAGGATGATGCAGAGATGGAGGCTGAGTGCAAGATGAGCTTATGAGGGAAGAGATGAGACCATATTGGGATGGTTGTGTATGATAAATCCTCAGAGTTTTTCTCATTTTATGAGAGGCAGACGAAGGAGGATCTGGTGTGACCAGCTCATAGACGGAGGAGGAATTTTGAGGCACGATGAAGCTCAATAGCGAAGGGACGGGAACTACGAGGGGGAAAAAAGCGACAAAATTCCTTTGGAGATTTATGGCAGAAAGTACATGGCACGTGTAGACGCAGCAGAAGAGAAGGGAATTATCAGGGGAACGCGCCAAACTATTATGACAATATATCATTGGCAAGGGGTGAGGATAAGGATTTGGGATGGGACGGAGGGAAAGGAATGGTGCCCAACCACTTGAACGGTTGGGGATTGAACGCCAAACCTGCATGAAGCGAGACCGTCGTTCTACCGTCCAGCCCAAGTGGTTGCCAGGTTAGGTGTAAGAGGCCTAATCTGGTGAGAGAGAGAGAGAGAGAGAGAGAGAGAGAGAGAGAGAGAGAGAGAGAGAGAGAGAGAGAGAGAGAGAGAGAGAACAAACATCTCACTCTAGTACAAATACTCCATCACAATGTTTGGAGGATGTTATTTAAACGTCAAAAGCAGGGAAATATGGTTTTATGTGTTCAGCTAGCATTACGAAAACATCAAATTAATGGCCAGTGAGGCCCGTCGAAGATATGGCTTTTGAAGGTGCGCTTAATAGTATTATGTTGCAGAGGACTCCTTGGTGGCAGGCCACCAGGATGGCACACCAGGCAGAGTAGCATATAGCGCCACGATGGCAGGGTAAAAGGGCGCCGAAACACTGCAGAGAACCAGAGTTGCAGGGCACAACAAAGTAGCAGGACGGTAGGGAACACCAGAATGGCAGGGCGGCAGGACTACCAGGAACACCAAAGTGGCAGAGGTCAAGCAGCAACACTCCTGCTCGATACATGTACTATATTTTGACTTCATACGGCGCTCTTTCACCAGACTGGACATCAATAGTAGGCATCCAATAGTCTCAGGAGACTATGGAGTCGTTCTTTGAGTTGCCATGACACTGACTCCATCCGCCTCGACTTTACAGTAAAACCCTGACACTGGCAGATCGTCATATACCCATACTATTTCTCACTTAGATATCCCAGACAAGTCTCAAAGCATAACAGAGGCTTCGTGATAAGCTTAAGAATCCCAGACACGTCCTTAAGCTTAAACAGAGACTAATCTTATAGCATAAACAAAGGCTTTGTGGCTTGCTGCACATGCCCCATATTAGACCAACACCATTACAGAGATCCACTTGAGTAGGCGGCTTTGTATATGTATATTTTAATTGCCACATTTAGCATGATAAAAATATAATATATCGCCATGGTGTAAGCATTAGGTATGATTGACCTCCAAAGACCAGGACACAGTTTTGCTTCCTCACAGTAATTGTACTGTGCAGCCAGACTCACTGAAAACATCTGTATACATTAATAAATACTATATGTCAATATAGTGTTTTAATCCCCCGTTTTATTCATTCTTTATCATGTCAAGAGAGATTTTAATACTATTTTAATCTTCATTATATCAATAGAAAAGTGTTTAATAGCCTTTTCATCTCTTATTTAACCACTAACACACAGGGAGATGAAAGATGGATGAATAGTGAATAACAGAACAGTAACAATGAATTATGACAAATAGTTTGGTATTTATGTAAATACATAGTCAAATGAACAAATAACTCTACTCTGTTGATCCAGTACACTGTTGTTGATCCAGTACACTGTTGTCGACCAAGAAAACATGTTCTTGACAAAGAACACTGTTGTAAAGAACATAATAACAAAAGGAGGAGTAAAACAGAACCGTGGTTTCTCAATATATACATTTTATCTACAATTGTTAATATATATTATGCATGCTGAAACACCCCAACGTCCTTACAGGGAGACGAACCCAGGTCTAGCTTGACACCAGACGGGTAATGATCCCTCTCAGCCACCCACCGGGCGGGTACTGACTCATCTCACCCACCCATCGGGCGGGTACTGACTCATCTCACCCACCCACCGGGCGGGTACTGACTCGTCTCACCCACCCATCGGGCGGGTACTGACTCATCTCACCCACCTACCGGGCGGGTACTGACTCGTCTCACCCACCCATCGGGCGGGTACTGACTCATCTCACCCACCCACCGGGCGGGTACTGACTCATCTCACCCACCCACCGGGCGGGTACTGACTCGTCTCACCCACCCACCGGGCGGGTACTGACTCGTCTCACCCACCCACCGGGCGGGTACTGACTCATCTCACCCACCCACCGGGCGGGTACTGACTCATCTCACCCACCCACCGGGCGGGTATCATAGCCAACAAGGACGATGAGTTGTTTAAACTTTTATTGCATATCAGGAATCATTCGACTTTATTAAATAATATATTTTCCAAGTTGCAACATCAATACTTAAACAACATCTCGATACAACAGCTATGAACAGTGTACATTTATATGTATATGTATATATATATATATATTCTTAGTTATAGAATATCTCGTCTCCTATTATACAACATTCTACAAAAGTTATAACATAATTATATATTTCTATAACGCATATCACTGAAGAGACAGACTACAAGACATTGACCACTTTTAACATATTTGTTTCTAAAGTGACACAAATGACATCTTTACTACAATATCTTCACGGTACATCAAATAAATTTGTTCTCTCTTCAGAGGTTTACCAACATTTTTAATCTTTAACTACCTCAAGCTTTAACTACCTCACTCCTTAACTACCTCACTCCTTAACTACCTCACTCCTTAACTACCTTACTCCTTAACTCGTTAACTACTTCACTCTTAAATTATTTATACTTCATTTCTAGTCTACATGAACAACCAATAGACAACAATGTTTATATATTACTTTTTTGACATAACTCGAGTTTATAGATATACCACACAAAACTAATTAATAATTTTGAAATATTTTTTGTTTTATAATCTATATATCTGACTTACATCTTTGGTAATGTCCTTAAAAGTTAAACGAACCCATACTGCCAGAAACACTCTGCAACTGATGTACAGGATCCCTTAACCACTCGACCATCACGACCGGACAAAAGAGAATGGTAGCCGAGGCTAATTCCCCATCCTCCCGCCGGCACTCTGATGGTAATCTTGGGCATGGTATTTTATCAAATCACCTCATTCCTCGGGGCACACATGAGGAACACAAACCTCACGTGTGCCCCAACGAATGAGGTGATTTGATAAAATACCATGCACAAGATTACCATCAGAGTGCCGGCGGGAGGATGGGGAATTAGCCTCGGCTACCATCCTCTTTTGTCCGGTCGTGATGGTGGAGTGGTTAAGGGATCCTGTACATCAGTTGCAGAGTGTTTCTGGCAGTCACTTCTGGGGTGGGAGTTTTCAGTTTATATATATATATATATATATATATATATATATATATATATATATATATATATATATATATATATAATATATATATATATATATATATATATATATATATATATATATATATATATATATATATATATATATATATATGTAATTCAAATGCCATAAATGTTTCTGTATACATATGGGACCGCCTTCTGAAGTGGTCTGGGTGCAGCACAACACTTTACTGACCAACAGAGGAAGTCAATATATTTCACACTGTTGACTCATGACTTTCTAGTTTGTCCGGGCCCGTCTATGGTCACTCTGCTGTCTATGGGCTCTCTGCCGTCTATGGGCACTCTGCCATCTATGGGCATTCTGCCGTCTATGGGCACTCTGCCGTGATATTCGATGCTGATTTGTCTCATCACTTTTGTTTCGTTTTCGTGTGACTGACTGACTGACTGACTGACTGACTGACTGACTGACTGACTGACTGACTGACTGACTGACTGACTGACTCACTCACTGACTGCTTATTTTCCTTTCCCATTTAACAATTTTTCGAAGCCAACGACGTGCATGACCCGCGCTAATTATTTCTTGCTATTTAAAAGCACCTCATTACGTGAGTTTGAACCAGAGGTCCCGCATCGCCATCTCCTGGCTTCTTCAGACTTAAACCTTCCTGACTCCTAACCTGGCATCCGATGCTCTTAATAGAGGAAACTCTAATCACAGCATCTTCGGAAATTATCGGATGGAAGCTCCAGATGATCACTTGGTCTTATTAGCGGGGAAAAATATCGAAGTATTGCTTTGGAAATTTCTGGATACATGTTAGTATTGGAGGACATGGTTGTGGGGGATGTTTTCCTGGACGATTTTTCTTTTTTGAGGGAAGGGAGGGGTAGGGTGTGTGTGTGTGTGTGTGTATATATATATATATATATATATATATATATATATATATATATATATATATATATATATATATATATATATATATTAGTTTATTTTTATATTTTTCTAACAAGAGAATATTTGAGTTTTCTCGTCTTCTGACAAGAGAATATTTGAGTTTTCTCGTCTTTTGACAAGAGAATATTTGAGTTTTCTCGTCTTCTGACAAGAAAATATTTGAGTTTTCTTGTCTTCTGACAAGAGAATATTTGAGTTTTCTCGTCTTCTGACAAGAGAAGAGGTGAGTTCTCTTCTTATACTTATGATCACTCTGAAACTCTGGCTCAGGTAAACCAGGCCATTAGACACATAATTGTTTATATAATCATGTCAAAGATATTTTTAAAAATCTAAAAAAATAAATCCTGTCACAGGAAAGTTCCACGAGAGTTCGAACGTAAAACTTAGACTGAGCTTTAGACTTAAAGTTGGCTTAGACCATTATTGCTATAAGAGTAATATGTGATGTTTTTGAGGAAATGAATTGGAGCCGTGCAGGGGATTCGAACCGGCAAAATGGGTGCTTCTAAGCCGTGAGTATTCTTCATTCTCTAGGATGTATCTAACTTAAAGGATTGTGAGCAATTTCCTTTACAAAAACAAAACAAAATAATAGAATTCTGTTCACAACGTTTAACGTTGTTTCCTATGATATGTCTATAATTTGTAGCTAGAAAGAAGATAGAAGAAGATAGATAGATCTTCTTTAGATGGAAAGAAGAATAGGTATAGGTGAGTATAAGGAGAGGAGTGAGTAATAAATACAGAAATTGATGAAGAGGGAGATTTATGGAGGTGAGAGAAGGGAGAGACTACGGGATGGAGGGAGTGAGAGAGAGAGAGAGTGAGAGTGAGAGAGAGAGAGTGAGAGAGAGAGAGAGAGAGTGAGAGAGAGAGAGAGAGTGAGAGAGAGAGAGAAAGAATGTTTAGTGAAAGAAACAAGATTGGTACTAACACTTAGGCAGAAAAGGAGAAAAAAACTCATCATAGAAGGACACTGAAAACTAAGTATCCTCCACTCTCCTGTCCTACAAGAAGCGGCCCTCTCCATCCTCTCTCCCACAATGAGATGACATCTCTTCCATCCACGTGCCGAACTTCTGTATCCCACCTCCCAACTTTTCCCCTCGACTCTATCTCTTTCCATCAAAGTCATCTTTTCAAAACTTCTTTTCCATTCCTCCCTTGTCATTTGACGCTATATTTCTCTTTCTCATCTATTCTCTTTATTATATAAATTGATATTTATATATAATATCTATATATAAAATATTTATATATAAAATCTCAATATAAATTTCGATTTTACTTGAGTTCTAGATTGTATATAGGACTAAGGTCATTAAGCTTTAGAGAAATTCTTAATTATCTTCTCGCGGTTGAGAGGCCTAAGCCTTAATTCAAACACTAAACTAGCAATCTGATGGGCAGCAATTATCTCACCGTCCTGATAGGTCGTGTTATTCATATTCCCTTCCAAAAGCTCTGTGATGCTCCCATGATGTCATCAATACTTCCTCCGTTGTTCACTGTTGCTAAAACAGCCACAGTCACGGAATCTAACCTGACCTGACCTGACCTGACCTGACCTAACCTAACCTAATCCGAGTTTGAATCGCAGCAAAACCATTTTAACTTTCTTATTAAAATAATTAAGTGTAATGTCATTCCGTCAGGATATAGTTGACCTGAGCTGCTTCTAGTTGACCTGAGCTGCCTCTAGTTGACCTGAGCTGCCTCTAGTTGACCTGAGCTGCCTCTAGTTGACCTGAGCTGCCTCTAGTTAAACAGCTGCCTCTAGTTAAACAGCTGCCTCTAGTAGCCTGTAGCTATCAACAGCTGTTTTCATTCTGAAGTATATATGTAAACTCGATATTCTCTTTGATTTTAATCGGACCAAATGTCTTTAAATACTAGCTAATGTACTTTCTATAAAGTATTTATGTACGTATTTATGCATAATATATGTATATGCATAATGAAGGTTGCATTCATCAACATCTAACAACAGCTGTAATGATATAAAATTAATCTTTAAATTTATTCGCAGGTAGATAGTGTACTACAATATAAGTTAGATTTATCATTTTTGTTCAAGATCCACGCCGCTTTAGATCATGAAAGGCCAGAGAGCACCTAGGATGGATGGCCGTCCAAATACCCTTATAAATAACCACGAAACAAAAATGTCCAAAATCGTTGTTTACTCAGTGGGGAAAAAGACCCTATTTGACTCTAGATTCCAGGAGGAATTTCATCTCGTCCAGAGCTCGTTCCAGATTTCTGCCGAATTCGAGAGTGGACGTTTCCTCGCAAGAATTGAAGGCGGAGAGGCAGAAGACTATGTAGTCTGGATGAGGGTTATAAGATGCTCCATAGCCGTCAGGAACAACGGGTCCGTAGCCCATCCAGGAGTCTGAGAGCGTAGGGACCTGTAACACCAGTAACACTGAGATAATACTCTATTAACACGAAAGTAACACATCTGGAATACTGAAGCCACATGCTACGGACACTAGGTTAATACAGTGTAACGAATGGGAGTTAATTTACAATTAATTTATTTCAATTTTCATATGCGAAAGTTATAATGACATAGCACATAAACAACATAATTATAAACTGTATAGTCTAAATTTAGATTTAGAAGTTTGAAAGAGTTGAATTTCGTTTAAGCTTTCCGTGCTTCCCTTGGGTACTTTCAGCCCCAAATGATCTTAATATATAGACAAGACAACAACATCTCACAGCGTACAATCAACACCGGTGTATCAAAGACCGCGTCATTTCTACTCCACTAGACCATCACCAGAGATAGACTGACCAACAACGAATCAACACACACACACACGACTCCCTGAATAATCCCATACAACCAGTCCAACAACAGTTGGAATGATCACAACCGCTCCTACAACTCCTGCAAACGATCAAGAACTGCTTGAACTGTAACTGTATTGAATTGTAACTGCGCTTGAAACATCCCAACCAGTAACATGCGTTACAAAACCACTGACTTCTCTTGGACAGCCCGTGTCTATACCTGACTGTTCTCCTGGACAGCCCGTGTCTATACCTGACTGTTCTCCTGGACAGCCCGTGTCTATACCTGACTGTTCTCCTGGACAGCCCGTGTCTATACCTGACTGTTCTCCTGGACAGCCCGTGTCTATACCTGACTGTTCTCCTGGACAGCCCCGTGTCTATACCTGACTGTTCTCCTGGACAGCCCGTGTCTATACCTGACTGTTCTCCTGGACAGCCCGTGTCTATACCTGACTGTTCTCTTGGACAGCCCGTGTCTATACCTGACTGTTCTCCTGGACAGCCCGTGTCTATACCTGACTGTTCTCCTGGACAGCCCGTATCTATACCTGACTATTCTCCTGGACAGCCCCGTGTCTATACCTGACTATTCTCCTGGACAGCCCGTGTCTATACCTGACTGTTCTCTTGGACAGCCCGTGTCTATATCTGACTGTTCTCTTGGACAGCCCGTGTCTATACCTGACTATTCTCCTGGACAGCCCCGTGTCTATACCTGACTGTTCTCCTGGACAGCCCGTGTCTATACCTGACTGTTCTCCTGGACAGCCCGTGTCTATACCTGACTGTTCTCCTGGACAGCCCGTGTCTATACCTGACTGTTCTCCTGGACAGCCCCGTGTCTATACCTGACTATTCTCCTGGACAGCCCGTGTCTATACCTGACTAGTGGAGAGTCTGAAGTGGTTGGAGACTTGATATGACCGGTGGCTGAAGATCTCCGGGGTAGGGAGGCCCATCTCCTTCCCCATCTCCCTGAGCCCCAGGAGATGGATGTCGACCCCCCGTCCAAGAATATTATTCACCATGATGTCAGTTTGCAGCTTGATGGCCGTCTCGTACTTCGCCAGGCGGTCGGCGAACTGGAATGGAGGAAGTTGGAAATCCAGATGATGCTTCTCGTGTCCTCTTGTGCTCACATGCCATTTATTAATGCCTTTTAGTAAGTTTGTGCAGCTGTATTGATATCGATCATCTGAGTATTACTTAGCCGTGTTTAGGGATGGATGCGTCTCTGATGGAAGTTAATGATATCCACTGAGGCGCGGGGCGGGGATATCCCCTGAGGCGCGGGGCGTCGGGGATATCCCCTGAGGCGCGGGGCGGGGATATCCCCTGAGGCGCGGGGCGGGGATATCACCACCAGGGGCGTGTGGGGCATGTGGCTATATACTCACCGGGGCATTGATGACCATGGCCTCACACCACGCCAGCACCTGCGGCGTGTTGGCCCTGATGCAGTCGACGCGGCCCAACCGGAACCTTCTGGTGCTGGCGCTCTCGTAGGTGCTCGTGAGCTGGCCGTGATTCCTGCGGTGGGGACACGTACAGCAAGGATTATCAGGGGGGGACAGCAGAGCTATGTTCACCTCCGGGTTACCTGAGAGAGACAGAGCTGAGAGAGAGAGAGAGAGAGAGAGAGAGAGAGAGAGAGAGAGAGAGAGAGAGAGAGAGAGAGAAAACAGACATAGCAAGAGCGACAACCCCTGTTAATGCTGAATGGGTGATCAATTACCTGCTGGAAATGCTTACATTAATATATAAATAAGTCAATAGTTGCGTCACCATCAGCTATGATATTATGTCTATGGCGTTGATGATGCCATGATAATTACGTCCATTGCGTTGATGTTTACATTATAATTACGTCCATAGTGTTGATGATCACAATATTACGTCCATGGCGTTGCAACTCAAGTTCAAGTTCCTCCTCTCCTCTGCATCTCTCTAGTTACGTGAGAAGGGGGAATTTATTCATGGAATATGTTCTATCTGCTGAGAATGCATTAATTCCCTTCAGTGAGCGCGCTCCACTGACCGAGCTCGACACAGGGGCAGCCGCCCCCACACGTCAGAAACACTTCCTCGCCGTGGTGAGCGAGTTTACGGCCTTGTTATCTTCTTTTGTTACTAAATAATCCAAAATAATTGGTACTGCACTCAGTGGAAGAGAGAGAGAGAGAGAGAGAGAGCCTGGGTACAAGTGACAGGATGAACAACCCACCGGGTTTTCTTCCTTTTGGGGAGTGTTATACATGCTGCTATGGCGGTGTGTCCACTCTCAAGATGAGTGGCGCTGCCCAATAAACTCGCCCCTCGGGGCAAAATCTAAAGAAAAAGGTAAACCTTTCTTGGAAATATGACTTTCAACTGAGACACAGGAGAAAGGATGCACACGCTCGTCTAAACTGCTCTTTCAGATGATTAACGCCGATTATACAGGGTCGTTGAGCCAGTGTGGCTCACGAGACCGCTAGAGTGGGACAGACTGAGTCTGTGGCTCGCTTCAACGGCATCGTTCCCGTTAGTTCAGCTGTTTAGCTGTTTTTGTTAATACACATCTCGCTACAGACATCGGTAGGCATTGATGACAATATAGATTAGGAAGGTGTGAGTTTGTATGTAGATCGAGGGCATACCTGGAGAGGGTTTCAGGAATTCTTCTACTTCCCTATCCCGGCATGAGGCCAAGCACGACTCGTGATAACTTGGTCCAACAGGCTGTTGCTTGGAGCGGTCCGCAGGGCACCCATTTGGCTTGGTTCGATGCAACGGCTATCACCCTCCAGAGTCAAAAATGTTATTAAGTTATATTAATAACTAATAACAAATGGTGACCAGCACAGTAAGGCCACCTGGACGCAGTCTGGGGTTCTACAATATCGCAGTCAATACCGACGTTCTGAACCGACGTAAAATATTATTAGTTAGTAATAATATACTATTCAGGAAGGGTTATATTCACCAAGTGGTATCCTTCCTCCGTACATATGCTTATTTTATATCCTAGATAGATTTTATATCCCAGATATATCCTAGATATCTTTATTTTTATATTCAGAGGATATGATCAGTGTGGCTGCTGCTCTGATCCTGTTCCTTTATCTTTTGCTTTGTTCAAAGTGATTGGTTTAGTTATCTTTTGTGGTGTCTTTATTAACCCTCCAGAGGGTGATAAACCTTAACAAATTACCTCAACACCAAACTAAACCATTAATTACTTCCATATACTCGGTGGTATTCTAAATAAGCCTCGATAACACCAAACGAATTTTTGTGTTTTATTTATATTGATGAGTATTGATGACAGGTTTTTAAATACTAGTGTTGAAAAACTTTTGTTTTCAATGTTTTCAAATATATAAAAATAATATTTTAGGTATTATTTAATAAAATGAACTGTATAGCAGTTGGTACAACCAAACTGTGCTCAGAAATCTGGCAAGAATCTTTAAGTGAAGAGATAGTTTTTCTTAAGTTTTCTTTTCTTAAAAAATCTTAAGTTTTCCTGGGAACGAAAACTTATTATGGGGCTTTTCAAACGACTGTGCAAGGCTACCAATTAGCCTCCATAGGGGTGGTTCATCGTTATTGTCAGTTCACCGCCAATTACCTAACTTTTAATTGGCGTTGGGGAGTTGCATAGGAAGCTAGGAGTAATCTACTTCCCTGTTGTACTGTAGAACAGAGGAAAGGTACAGTATGTTTCCTCAATAACTTGGGTATGAATATGGTGAGGTTGACGGGTCAATCTTGGGACGATAGGACTTGTTTTACGCAGATATGATGCGATATTTAGTATGATATGGCTATGAAGCATACTGGACGTGACCTTCGGGTAGACAGCACATGCTGTGTCTGTATCTACTATTCTCATCTGCTACACTTCAGTAGATGAGACGTGAGTCGTGTTGGCAGAACATAGTTCATGAATTAAAAGGTAATGACACTTGAGCAAATAGGACGTAGCACTTCGGTAGATAGGTTATTCTTCCTACTTAAAGTCCACGTAATGAGGGAAATATGGAGGATGAACCTCTCTTCACCTGCAGGAGAAGGGAGGAAGAGATTAATGGGTGATGATCTCTTGTGTGTGAATATTGACAGAGGCTAAAATCCTGTCAGTTACAGCAAGTTGTCCCAGTGTCTGCTGAAGTCTGTAAACTAACAAAAATCATTCCTTAAATACCCAAACCTGAAAGAAAAAATTGGATTAAGGTGGCTACCCAATGCCTGAAATACAGAAATTAATTTAAGCTTTAGAAGAGCAATTTCCTAACAAGTCAATTGTTTTATGAGTGATAGGGGAACATCATCCATTTGAAGTATGTTGACCAGACCACACACTAGAAGTTGAAGGGACGACGACGTTTCGGTCCGTCCTGGACCATTCTCAAGTCGATGGTCCAGGACGGACCGAAACGTCGTCGTCCCTTCACCGTCTAGTGTGTGGTCTGGTCAACATACTTCAGCCACGTTATTGTGACTCATCGCCTGCATCCATTTGAAGTATTTTTAATTTGATATTAGATGATTCAGTGCAACATTTACTCAAAGAATACTCGGTGTAATGTGTGGTAAATGAGTAATATTTGTCAGCTGTATCAGGTAAGGCCCAATACCACCTACCTGAAGAAGGCAAGCTGCAGAGCAAGCTGTATGAAGGCGTCGGGGGAACACTTGGCTCTCTTCATGAAATTCCTGCCGTAGCTCAGGTACCTTAGGATGCGGAAGTCGAGATCTTCAACTAGCCTGAGAAGGAGACGCCACTCACTGGTTAATGTCGATACTAATACACATACACACATTCATCGTATTTACAGTGGGTAAAAAGCAGACCACTAAGGAAGGTCTGCTTATACCTCTAAGGGAGGCGCTCATTTCTGCCATAGCTTTACTGTCTGATAGATTCATCTCAACGTCCTGCCATTTTGCTGGACAGTTTTCTTAGCTTAAAACTCCACACTTGTCCCTGTCCCTCCAGGCAGATTTAGACAGGCTGTAGATCTGATACGAGAAATGGGTAGTGGAACTCAATACTAGCAAAATGTAATGCTATGAAAATTAACACAAGGAAGCAGAAGGATAACACAAAATTGTAAAGAAGACGAAATAGGTGATGGTTGGGTTATGTTTGACGTGGGGTGCCTCGTCACTAACCCACACGTCCACTGCCTCCAACGTTAGTGCCCCAGCTGTCAGGAAGGCACTGGCGATGACACTGGCACTGGCAACACTTCTATCTAACCCCCCCCCTTGCTTCCACATCTCCCAGAAGCCTTTCTATCTGCTGTTGTTTTCAAAACATCTGAGCAGTCTAGTGATGAGATCATTTTTGGCGTGGAGATAAATTTTTTTAATGCTAATTATGAATATTATTATGATAATATGGAAAATATCAACATTTTGATAAGAAATAAACAACTGACACAGCCAGACTCACCTATCAACATGATCTGCAGCCTCCTGCATTCGCCGGTGAATGACTGGAGTGACATTCCACTCCAGTCTGGTAGGTGTCGCAACGGACTCCACTGGGGCTGACGTCTCCGAGTGCCGCCTCTCCGGCAGCACCTCGACAGGATGCACCAGCCCCTCTGGCAAACATTCCTCCCCCGGTTCCTTGTGCGTTTCGGAGGCGATTGATTGAAGAATCTGTTCTACCAGTTGGATAACGACGATGCCCTCAGCGCACGAGTGTTCGTAACACAGCCCGCACCACCCGTCACGAGTCAGTACGAACTGCGGGATGGAATTATCTCGTGGTAGTGGGCTTAGATTCAGCTACTCGGAACAAAAAAGTTGCAAGTAGCACGGGCTATCCCCCACTCCAATAATCCAATAATAACTCAAAATACAAACCTACAAACACAGTTGGGTTTGTACATACACCTGCGTAGTCTCGCCTACCGTAGGCAAGCAGTAATTTATAATGAAAGGCATAACTGATTTAATATAAATTCAGAAGGTTTAGCTGTAACTATAATATATGTAAGTCTCTCATTAAGGTGCCCACAAGGTCGAACTACTGACCTTCCCCTTGAATGCAACCCCACAACAGCTACATATATTCTGCTACATATTTACTGCTAGCTTAACAGAGGCATTAAGGATGAGGATATGTGCCCTTTGCCCAACCATTTCTCTCCCGTCCGGAAATCAAAGTCGGGATCCCCGATTGCAAATCGATAACGGAGCCCATACCTCTAACCTGATGGGTGACCTCTCTGATACAACTTAGACTTGGCTATGGTGACCTCGAGAAGACATCTACGTAATTCAAGTCCTAGACAGGATCCTGTAGCGCAGTGGTCAACGTTTTTGGCTCACAACTGAGAGGATGTTTACGTTGGCACAAGGGAGTTAGGTAACTATTGTGAGTTGCGTCCTGGGTAAGGTCATCAGTACTTGGCATAGAGTAACCTTGATTTGCTAACACGATTCCTGTTCCTGACTATGTGAAACCACAAAGTGAACCATAGCCACCTCAATGGAAGAATATAAACAAAGGTTAGCATTTACATGAGTTATCCATGAAGACTGAAATTGACCGTTTTTTATAAATCCCAAGCGCGTTAAAAGAAAATGCCTAACAATTTTTAGCGCGGTAACTACTGAATTTATCTAGATCATGTCACGGTGTTGCAATTGACCAGTATTAATCGCCTTAATTAAGTTCATTAATTAATTTTTAATCTTCTAGCAACTTAATGATGCAAGGCGCAGTGGATGATATCCGTATCACATAGAGAGGTTTGGATCTCGACAGCAATAAGATGTGATAGCCGCGCGGATTACGTCCATGACTAGGCCCTAAGGGAATATGGATAACATGTTAACTATAAACAGGCTCTTATGTTCCCATTAATGCAGTTACAGCCCCGCTCCTGTGCCAGGTAAGTCCACTACGGGCTCACCATAGCCCGTGCTATTTGTTATGCCCCGCTCTTGTGCAAGGTAAGTCCAATACGGGCTCACCATAGCCCGTGCTACATTTTTTTTTTTTTAGATATATACAAGAGTTGTTACATTCTTGTACAGCCACTAGTACGCATAGCGTTTCGGGCAGGTCCCTGGAATACGATCCCCGCCGCGAAGAATCGTTGTTACAACCAAGTACACATTTTACTGTTGAGTTAAACAGAGGCTACAGTTAAGGAATTGCGCCCAGTAAATCCTCCCCGGCCAGGATACGAACCCATGACAAAGCGCTCGCGGAACGCCAGGCGAGTGTCTTACCACTACACCACGGAGACTGAGACTACTTGGAACTTTTTGTTCCTAGAAGCTGAATCTTAAACAACAACCCAGTAATGGTACTGGAATTAAAGAAGGTTGCGAATGTATACATCAAAATATAAATGAATTGTAGAATATGCAGTTCCAGCATGGAGTGTCTAGCAATGTCAAATTCAGCTGAAAAAAACTCAGGCATATCACTAGAGTAGTTCCAGAGGTGAGTATCATGCCACTAGGTAATAATAAAAGATCTTTACAACTAAAGTAGAGAACAGAGAAGACATGATCTCAACATACAAAGTATTTGTAGAAATCGACCAAGTAGACAAATTTGGCTATTTGACATACGAGGGACATTAACAATGGAACATAAATGAAATTTAAATTCTTAAATATATTTATATATACAAGAGCTCATATATGGTTGTAAAGCCATTAGCACGCATAGCGTTTTGGGCAGGTCATTAATCTAAATTTTCCCTGGAATACGACCTGCCAAATCGTTTAACAACCAGGTACCCATTCACTGCTGGGTGAACAAAAGCGTACAATTAGAGATTGGCGCCTAGTCAATCCTCCCCGGCCAGGACTGAGTCACAGGAGTATTAAAAAGTATCATTTAGTGAGAGCAGAAACAATGTGTAGTGAAATATGTAATTAAAGGTGGAGGAAGACCACATACACAGATCTGAAAACAGATCTAACAGAAAAACTTAGTTTGAGAAACCAGTACAACAGTTGACCCAGGAGCTGAATCTCAACCCCCCGGCAAACACAGCGGGGTTTGTACATACACGTACGTAGTCTCGCCTACCGTAGGCTAGCAGTAAATAGGTACCTGGGAGTTAGACAGCTGCTACGGGCTGCTTCCTGGGGGATGTGTAACAAAAATGAGGCCTGTTCGAGTACCGGGCCGCGGGGGCGCTAAGCCCCGAAATCATCTCAAGATAACCTCAAGATACCAGCTGGTCCACTCGCTACCCACCTGGACGGTCTTGTCGAACCACCTGTTGGCTGAGTTGTGGTTGAAGCCTCCTCCGTGGATCATCTGGTGGCCGGCGTTCACCTCGTCCCGGGTCTTCGAGTCCTGAAAACAAACAGAATGCTGTTTTGGTCCGAAATATTATAGTTTTATTGTTATTGTTACCGTTGGGGCTCGTCCAGGATTCGTCGAGTATTTACGTGTCCACTTACGAACATCTTGTAAGGCATCTTTCCTGTACTTTCCTGTACATCTTTCCTCGATCTCAATTTTAGTATATGTACTGCCGAAGCTCATGGCAGTTTAATCCATATTAAACAGTTCACGAGCTACGAAACATGATAATCCATTGTTACAGCCGCCGCTATCTCTACCATTCCACAATCATCTCACAATCCTCCTCCTCCTCCACCTCCCTCCCTACTTCTCCACAATCATCAATCCCAGTCTTGTGACCGGGATAAAATTGATTCATGCTTGCAAAGTGCTGACAATGATGAGTCTGATTAACTCTGATTAAAATTACTTATTCATGATCTGATCATTCTCAAGTTTGGTATCAGAGTGAGTCTCTCATTCTTCGGACTAAGAATATAATCTGTGTTCACCTGTCTTTTCTGACTGATTGATAAGTGACGAGATTTAATTATCACCTTGAAGTGTAGATTTTGAGGAGGAGGAGGGTGGGGGGGGGGGGGTGATGTTGGAGCTACAAGTGTGTATTTGGGGGGGGGGGATGTTCCAAGGGTCTTGGGTCAGGATGGAGTCACTTCCTTCTCTCTCAAGTTCAAGTTCAAGTATGTTTATTGAGACAAGAAAAAAACACATCTCAAAGGAATGGAGTAGCTTAGGCTATTCTAATTCTCTCTCTCTCTCTCTCTCTCTCTCTCTCTCTCTCTCTCTCTCTCTCTCTCTCTCTCTCTCTCTCTCTCTCTCTCTCTCTCTCTCTCTCTCTCTCTCTCTCTCTCTCCCCAGCCCCAGAAACCCCCTCTTAAGAGCACGTGGCATCCAGGAATAAGGCTATGAAATATATTCTGGTGGAAAGAAGGCAGAAGTGCTTTCCGCCAATTGCAGTTCAGTTTGGGTTAGCTGGTGTGCTTTGATTGGTTGACAGCCAGACTTGAGTGGAGTAGCTGAGGGCTGTTAGCGCCATGGAAGGTCATTCGTTGCTTGTGTCTCGCCGGGTGAGTCTGTCTGTCTGGTCACTCAGCTGTCAGAAAGCTGAATGGCAAGTTATCCTTAGCCCAGCGTGAATACCCCTGCCAGTATTAAAGATGGTTAAGGCTGGCCTTATTGGGGAAAAAATCAGAGATAGCAGAATCAGGGCAAGATATGCTAGTTCCACTGCGGTAGTTGGAACCGAGTGTTAAGAACAGTTGAGTGGCAACTAGGAATATTAAAGAGTGTTGAGTGGCAATAATGTGTTGATGACAGTTAATGGATTGGAGAGTGTGTATTGTGTATTGGTCATTGCCGAATGAACAACGTGAGAGGAAGCCTCAGAGGGAGTTATGATGGTAACGCGGTCCTTCCCTAGTGCCAGTGTGGCTAGTGAGTTACGTGACGGTACGCTGGTCTGTCACCTACTTAAGAGACACGACTCACAAGTGTTGTCGGGAATAACTTGCATGGCCGCACGCAACAGTGTCGAATCACCTGTCGAGTTCGCCGACACCATGTGCTTGTGGGTGGAGTATAGCGGGTGTTCGCAATACTGAGCAGTAAAAGTGTGAGTATTGGATCTTATTCCTTTTGTCTGGGCTGGAAACTTAGACTAGTTTAATCTCACCTGAAGGGACTAATAGGTACCCGGGCCTATCAGTGGACCACACCTGTACAGATGCAGCGTGATGCAAAGCAATTCAAGGGAGTTCGTCACTTCGTCTCGAGTTTGAACCTTGAGGAAAACATTTCACTGTCGTCTTCTTAGTGAAGGGTGAAGTCGCGTATATATATATACATTAACCTTAGATCGTGATAGTTAGAGCACATGATCGTTCAGCTTAGTAGCATTATAATTATACTTGTTTATTGTTTGTGTCACGATTGTTTGCTTTCTCGAGGACCGGATTGGCCTCTCGTGCTTGACCATTGTTGACTGTAGTGATAGTTAAGGCAGTATTGCAGAGTTGTCAATCAAAGACATTAAGTTTAGGGTTTTTTTCTCCTGGGAATTAGCCGGATCCTGATGGGTCCCACACACCAGCTCCTCACCAACGTCTTCCTGTTGAGCAGTTGCTTAGAAATTGCAGTGAAACTTTTCTAGTAAAGTATTCCCTATTAATGCATCTTAGATTAAGGTAGAAATGAAGACCTGCAAATTGGTAAACAGTCATTCCCTGAGATCAATTTATCTTACAAGGAGTCCCAAATGACTCCCATAGCCATTTCATTTACAAGTTCAAGGTAAGTGGAAGTTTCTGCTTCCTTGCAGCAAACGTTCTGAAGACCCTTGTAGAAGTTCCTCTTCCGGCCAGTTGGAGTGTGGCACAAAGACTGTGACGTATTAGCTCGCCACACCTTGTGTCTAGGCAGGGTATGATTAGTGTGGCTGCTAAAATGAACAAATCCACAAGGGCCGTGACGAGGATTCGAACCTGCGTCCGGTAGCATCCCAGACACTGCCTTAATCGACTGAGCTACTTCTGGTTCGAATCCTCGTCACGGCCCTTGTGGATTTGTTCATTTGATGCATCACGTTAGTGTGATCTCTGTGTGTGAGTGTGGCTGCTGCTCTGAGCCTGAGCCTTTATCTTTTGGTGACCTCTGTTGGGCTGTCGTTCATGAGGTTAGACACGGATTGTTTATATGGGGGATAAATGCTAATTGATGCTGTAATAACCAAGGAAATAGTGTTTATTTACACTCTTCACTCCTCACTTTCACAACCACACCCCTCCCTTACCCCCTCACGAACACACCCTTCACACCACCACACTGCTATTCCTCACAGCCAGACCCTCTAAATCACCACCCTCACCCCTCACAACCACAATCCTCCCTACCAGTACCCTGACCCCTCACAACCACGATCCTCCCCTCCACCACAACTCTCACCATCACCACCACCACCCCTCCCAGACCACCACAACCACTTCATCACCATCCCTCGCCCTGTAACGTACCTCATACGTCGTGTTCTGGGTGTTCATGTTCATGTTGGAGGAGCGCTTGGTGAGGCTGGCCCGGTGACTGGTGCGGGTGGCCAGGTTGAATCTGGTGGGAAGAGGGTCGTCGAAGCACAGCACCAACACGCACGTCTCTACGATCTTCAGCACCTTCTGGTTTTCCGCCTCTGAAGGAATCATTCATCTTAGGTCTGATTCTGGCTCACAGGCGCCAGATTCACGAAGCAGTTACGCAAGCACTTACGAACCTGTACATCTTTTCTCAATCTTTGGCGGCTATGTTTATAATTATTAAACGGTTAATGAGCTCCGAAGCACCAGGAGGCTGTTTATAACAATAACAACAGTTGATTTGGGAAGTTTTCATGATTGTAAACTGTTTAAAAAATGTAACCAAAGCCGTCAAAGATTGAGGAAAGATGTACAGGTTCGTAAGAACTTGCGTAACTGCTTCCTGAATCTGGCCCTCTTTTCTCTTCCTGAATCTGGCGGGGTTTGAGTCATTGGAAAGCGAAAAAGGAGGACAGTTTTCAGATAGTTTGAGGGTCAAGTATAGAGAAGTAATTGATTATCTGGATACCTGTCTAAGGTTCTGATGTAATGCATATAGTTATGAATGAAATGGAAACTGTTGGTTTGATAATTGTGTTGAAGAGACAGGTAATTGTCGGTATGTGGTTACAGGAGCTGTTTCTTTGTTGATAAGAACGGTTAAGGTGTCGGAGGTGTTACATTTTGTCTTGAATTTGCAGCTGTATATATCGCGTTGCACGGGGCAAGCGTGAGTTACAGGCCTGTATGAAGAGTGATCACCCTGACAGTATACGAAGGAGACTGAGCAATATTATTGTTAGACACTGACATACGTCTCGAGTTTGCGTGCGTGCGTGTGTGTGTGTGTGTGTGTGTGTGTGTGTGTGTGTGTGTGTGTGTGTGTGTGTACTCACCTAGTTGTACTCACCTAGTTGTGTTTGCGGGGGTTGAGCTCTGGCTCTTTGGTCCCGCCTCTCAACCGTCAATCAACAGGTGTACAGATTCCTGGGCCTATTAAGTGTGTGTTTGTGATTCCTGAGTGTGTGTGTGTGTGCCTTATAGGTAATTAAGGAGTGTTGTGAATGGTTAATGCCGTGTATCCTGTGTTTAGGAATTGCATGCAATTACGTGAATAACTCCCAATGTTGATTAAATATTTAGAGAAAATAATATCACTTGGTAGAAACTAAACAATTCGACTAGTTATATTAAATTATATTGTCAGATCTTCAGTTATAAAGGTCCTAAATTAGTCTAAATTATTCCTCATTGATGCCTTGCTCATAAAGGGATCTCAGAGAATTAAAAAAGGTGTTGATACTTTCAAAGGTCAACTTAGTAATCTGAATACCATTAATTTCTCTCCCATTCGGGATTTTCGATTATTTATATATGAAATAAGTCCTAACTTTATCTAGGGATTAATCAGTCGACAACGATGTTCAATGAGTTGACATCAATAATCCCTTGTTCATCAAGTGCTTAATGAGTTGACATCAATACTCCCTCATTCATCAAATACTAAATGGGATTACATTAGCGCTCCGAACCCCTGTAAGACCTCCATTGACTCTGGCTTCCGCCTCCCTTTACCTCCTGCCAATATCTGTCGGCTCTGAGCCCAAGTTCTGCGGTTGTCTGCTGTCATGATGCCCACGGGAGGGGGATCCGAACCCTCGTACTCGTCCACGGCCCTGAGTACCTCCTGCAGCTGTGCCGTCACCTGCTGGTGGGTGAGTCTCGAACCCTCGACCACCACTTCCACCCGGAACATCTGTAGGGTCAATGCAGGGAGAGGTGGCTCAGTCATCTTGGGACACTCCTTCAGAATGTCAAACTACCCCAAGGAATGCTAGCAAATTAGGTCATCTGGCTTATGGCAGCAGTCATGGTATTATTATCAGGATTAAAACATGTGGATTAATACACACACACGTGGATTAATTCGAGCATACACTACAAAACGATTGATGTATGTTAGATTCATTTATTATTTGCTCTATTTTACACTGTGGAAGGCTTTACCTGGAGAATATTTATTTTAGGCGAGCAATGTAGTCAAACTGATCAATTATACATAAGGTAATATTGAAAATCTCACTCATTCATTCATTCATTCATTCATTATCATTCACAATGCAGCACATGTCATCATCAGGTCGAAATAAGCACCGCCACACTAGCACTCATTCACAGCAGCAGCAACCTACCGCTTATTGAGACCAGATTGTACAGTGTCCACCGCTTACTAAGACCAGATTGTACAGTGCTCCTCTTATAATATACATTATATATAGATACATTCATTCTTTCCACACATAACCACTAATAATGATAAATGCTATAGATTATATTTAAGCATTGCAAGGCCAACATAGAAATTGTATAAATGTAGCACAGTCGGCTTACAACCGACTGTACCAGGGTTCGAGCCCCGGGCTGGGTGGGGTGCTTGAACATGTGGTCTGGCACCTGATGCCTCTACTCCCCCAGCAGTAAATAGGTACCTGGAAGTAATGCAACTGTTGAGGCTGCATCCTGAGGAAGGTCATCTGTTGACCAAAGGGTACTTCTGTTGACCTAAGGGTACTTCTGTTGACCAAAGGGTACTTCTGTTGACCAAAGGGTACTTCTGTTGACCAAAGGGTACTTCTGTTGACCAAAGGTGTACTCCTGTAAACCAAACAGGCTTCCTGACCTCGACAAAGGATAACCCTTAGAGTAGTGTTAACCCATTAATCAAGATCCAAGAAATCTTAGAACCCTCTCACCAAAAACCCATTTGTATATAATACAATACACATTACACATCTCAGTGGTCTCTGTGAGGCTCTGTGAGGATCTGTGAGGATCTGTGAGGATCTGTGAGGATCTGTGAGGATCTGTGAGGCTCTGTGAGGCTCTGTGAGGATCTGTGAGGATCTGTGAGGAGCAGAGTGTTAGATACGCGCTCTTTACCTCAACCACTCTTGAGCCTTCATCATTACTATGATGAATGCTTAAAGATCATCATTACTTGGTCAACAATGCTACTACGACGACCACCACCAACACTTCAACACCACCATTTCCAACTCCTACCATCACTACAATCACCACCAGCATCCCCACTACTAATCATCACTACCACACTCTCCACACAACAATTCTCACTACCACCATCTCATCAATTCTTTCAATATCTATTACCAATACCACATATGCCATATGTCCTCCCTAAGGTTTCTCAACGTCAAGAAAACGGCCAAGTGCCTTTATCCTAACCTACCAGAGGACCTAAAACAGAAAACGGGAGACAGTACGTCACTTTCACCAGCCGCTTCCGTTTTCTAGTACGACAATTTTTGGCCTTATGTTTAACGGATCCGAGCGAAAAGCGACGTTCTCTGTAGGAGGACAGGTTGTAGGAGGACAGGTTGTAGGAGGACAGGTTGTAGGAGGACAGGTTGTTGGAGGACAGGTTGTTGGAGGACAGGTTGAAGGAGGACAGGTTGAAGGAGGACAGGTTGAAGGAGGACAGGTTGAAGGAGGACAGGTTGTAGGAGGACAGGTTGTAGGAGGACAGGTTGTAGGAGGACAGGTTGTTGGAGGACAGGTTGTTGGAGGACAGGTTGAAGGAGGACAGGTTGAAGGAGGACAGGTTGTAGGAGGACAGGTTGTAGGAGGACAGGTTGTAGGAGGACAGGTTGTAGGAGGACAGGTTGTAGGAGGACAGGTTGTTGGAGGACAGGTTGTTGGAGGACAGGTTGAAGGAGGACAGGTTGAAGGAGGACAGGTTGAAGGAGGACAGGTTGTAGGAGGACAGGTTGTAGGAGGACAGGTTGTAGGAGGACAGGTTGTTGGAGGACAGGTTGTTGGAGGACAGGTTGTTGGAGGACAGGTTGTAGGAGAACATGTTGTAGGAGGACAGGTTGTAGGAGGACAGGTTGTAGGAGGACAGGTTGAAGGAGGACAGGTTGAAGGAGGACAGGTTGAAGGAGGACAGGTTGTAGGAGGACAGGTTGTAGGAGGACAGGTTGAAGGAGGACAGGTTGTTGGAGGACAGGTTGTTGGAGGACAGGTTGTTGGAGGACAGGTTGTAGGAGGACAGGTTGTAGGAGGACAGGTTGTAGGAGGACAGGTTGAAGGAGGACAGGTTGTTGGAGGACAGGTTGTTGGAGGACAGGTTGTTGGAGGACAGGTTGTAGGAGAACATGTTGTAGGAGGACAGGTTGAAGGAGGACAGGTTGAAGGAGGACAGGTTGTTGGAGGACAGGCTGTAGGAGGACAGGTTGAAGGAGGACAGGTTGTTGGAGGACAGGTTGTTGGAGGACAGGTTGTTGGAGGACAGGTTGAAGGAGGACAGGTTGTAGGAGGACAGGTTGAAGGAGGACAGGTTGTAGGAGGACAGGTTGAAGGAGGACAGGTTGTTGGAGGACAGGCTGTAGGAGGACAGGTTGAAGGAGGACAGGTTGTTGGAGGACAGGTTGTTGGAGGACAGGTTGTAGGAGGACAGGTTGTAGGAGGACAGGTTGTTGGAGGACAGGTTGTTGGAGGACAGGTTGTAGGAGAACATGTTGTAGGAGGACAGGTTGAAGGAGGACAGGTTGAAGGAGGACAGGTTGTTGGAGGACAGGCTGTAGGAGGACAGGTTGAAGGAGGACAGGTTGTTGGAGGACAGGTTGTTGGAGGACAGGTTGTTGGAGGACAGGTTGAAGGAGGACAGGTTGTAGGAGGACAGGTTGAAGGAGGACAGGTTGAAGGAGGACAGGTTGTTGGAGGACAGGTTGTTGGAGGACAGGTTGTTGGAGGACATGTTGTAGGAGGACAGGTTGAAGGAGGACAGGTTGAAGGAGGACAGGTTGTTGGAGGACAGGTTGTTGGAGGACAGGTTGTTGGAGGACAGGTTGTAGGAGAACATGTTGTAGGAGGACAGGTTGTAGGAGGACAGGTTGAAGGAGGACAGGTTGAAGGAGGACAGGCTGTAGGAGGACAGGTTGTAGGAGGACAGGTTGTTGGAGGACAGGTTGTTGGAGGACAGGTTGTAGGAGAACATGTTGTAGGAGGACAGGTTGTAGGAGGACAGGTTGAAGGAGGACAGGCTGTAGGAGGACAGGTTGTAGGAGGACAGGTTGTAGGAGGACAGGTTGTAGGAGGACAGGTTGTAGGACAGGTTGTAGGAGGACAGGTTGTAGGAGGACAGGTTGAAGGAGGACAGGTTGAAGGAGGACAGGTTGTTGGAGGACAGGTTGTAGGAGGACAGGTTGTAGGAGGACAGGTTGAAGGAGGACAGGTTGAAGGAGGACAGGTTGTGATCACCAACACAACTACTTACATGGTTCTTATAGAAGACGACGATGTGCTGGTTCTCCTGCTGGTAGTCTGTGACTGAGAGCAGCTTGTCTTTGGGTATGGCCGGCCTCCGGTAGGAGGAGAAGACCCGGTTGTACTGGGTCATACACATGGGCTGGTACCTCTCCCTTGCGCTGCACCGATCCACGTCCAGGTCCCCTCTGGGGAAAAAACACACGGGTTAGATCCTGTAGGACGCACAATGCACAAAGATATCACCTTAACGTGATGTGTCAAGTCATGAGAAGGGAGTCGAACCTATGTTCTGGGTACTCACAAGCAAACGCCTTAGAACACTACATCACGACTTGGTAAAAGTAATGCCACCTGGGATTCCACTGAATCCTCTAGGGGGGGTTTCTGAGACATCAAGTGAACCCGAGCTAGGGTTTAACACACACACTTTCTCCATGCACTCTGGTTTTTCTAATAGAACGCATATAGATGAACACCCACACCCACCCACACACATACACACACCCACACCCACATATACATCCACTCACACACACCCACATAAACGAACACATACTACAGCATACTTATCTCCATCGTGTTGATGAAATAACATTAATATTTACACCACTCACATCTCTGCCATTTTAAATCGCGTATTAACTCAGCAAATTTGGAAAGAAAAAAAATATTGGTTGACAAAAATATTCTAGTGCTCATTTACACAATTAATTCTTGTTTACTGTTCCCGGAAGAAGCATCCATATTCACGATGGGAAATATTGCAGTAGGAAATAAAATTGACGAGTTTTGATTGTGAATTGGATGTAAATTTACTTGGCATCAGCTTGGCAGGTAAAATACTGGAACACTTTCTGGAGTTTAGGTGGTCTTGTCGTCACTGGTGAAACATCTGTTGGAAACTCTTTTAAAACAACTCTAAGCTGTTGCCAACGAGTTTCTGAACACAATGCAACTTTTTTTGTATTTTTTTTATGTTTGAAAATAGTTTGTTGGTCTTAAGTTTTTGTGCAAACTCTTCAAAGTTTTAGCAATTTAAACTTTTTGTTGCAGAACGAGGCGGCAAGTGAGTCGCAAAGCACATGCAGGAGTCTGTAAATAACACAAATTGAAGATATATTTTCACTTTAAGAATGATGGTTTCATGATATTTAATTATCTGGAATTAAACCTAGGTATACAGGACTTTTACAATTGTAAAGTTATAAAAGTCGTGGCAGTGTCCAGCATTCGTGATTGTCTCCCATGTTGTTGTTTTAGATTTAACTACTCAGAACGAAATGTTCATGTAGCACGGGCTATGGCGAGCCCGTAATACCTCTCCCAGGTGCTAGTGGTGAGATAAGGAGGAAGTGAAGATCAAGATTGTACATGATAAGCATTGGAAGAGAATGTGATGATATGAAAAACTTGGGTAATTGTTTGGCAGAACTGGCATAGCTGCATACAATTTTGAGGATTCCAGCATAAGAGGTAAGGGATTCCAGCATGAAAGGTAAGGGATTCCAGCATGAAAGGTAAGGGATTCCAGCATGAAAGGTAAGGGATTCCAGCATGAAAGGTAAGGGATTCCAGCATGAAAGGTAAGGGATTCCAGCATGAAAGGTAAGGGATTCCAGCATGAAAGGTAAGGGATTCCAGCATGAAAGGTAAGGGATTCCAGCACGGAAGGCAAGGTACTCCATCAAGGGAGGAAGAACACAACAACAAAGGAGGGTTGACTGTGAAAGAGAAGCAGACAGGCTGAGTGATGAGGTAGAAATCTTGAATGATGAGAAAGAAAGGAATATGGGGATGGTAAAGGAAGCATAAATGATGCAGGAGGACATAAACGAAGAACATCAGTAACGAAGAGGAAATAGTGGACAGAACCAGAAGACAGGCAAGAGGGAAAACTTTAAGAGTCAGGAGATTAGGAAGCGAGAACAGAGAGAAAACAATAATCGATAAAAAGAAGAAAAATGAAAGGGAAAAAATAAGAGATGGGAGAAAAGATGACAAGAGGGGTTACGAAAAAATACGAATCAGGAGACAAGGGAAAGAGGAGGAAGAGAATCAAGAAGCCTAAGACCGGAAGAAAAGAGAAAAAAAAAGATACAGTAGCAGGCAAGAAGATAAAAATGAAGGAAACAATAAGACACAACTGACAATAAGGAGATGAGAAGGAAGCACTCACACTTCAATCCGCTCCTTCATGTCGAAGGAGGCGGTGACGAGGCGGGTTGCGAAGTGGATCATATCGAGGTCTGATGCGAACTTCTGGTGAGGGAAGACCATCCCCGGGTTACTGTTCACAGGCAGCGGCAGCGCCACGCTCAGGTACATGTCGTCCAGCCACCAGTTATACACCTGCGGGAGACGACACATGTTAGCCGAGCTAACGTTAGTCCGTCTAACGTTGTGTTAGACGGACTGGGGTGTTTACATACACTTTACACCAGTCTGGGATAAGATTAATCTCGAAAGCGTATGTGCGTAAAGAATTTCAGTTTGATCTCGAGGATTCGGAACACCTGAAGGAGAGAACACGTTCGCACGTGTTCTCTCTTTCATAAGGAGAGAACATAAGAGCACTTACCTAACAAGGACTCAGAATAAGTGATGTCTATAGCTCTATATACCCAGCCTATTAACAGTGTTGTGCCTGTTGTGTTGTGATTTATCTTTCTTCACGGTCGAAGTCATTGTAGAATGAATTCAAGTTGTGGATGGAGGTGGCTTCCAGCACTTCTTCTTTTTGCAGTGCATTCCATTTGTTGACCGCCCGTACTGGTTATGATAATTTTGATAAATTCCTTCGACTCATTTGCATTTCCATCTTCTACCAACGTCCCCTTGAGCCACAATGTCTTAGTATCTTGTATACTGTAGTCATATCTCCAGTAAATTTAACCTAATTCATATTTAATGGTTATCCCTCTCATTTCTGGAACTAGTCTTGTTGCAGACGTCTACACTTTTCCTGCTGTTATCATGACCTTCACAATGTACGGACTCCAGCGCAGTGCTATATATTCCAGCATGGGTTCAACACGGCCTGTACAGATTGTTTGAAAAGAATCCTTATTTAAATTTGTAAATGACGTTCTACTATTTGCAAGCTTTCCAGTTGCCGCAAATGTTGCTCTGTGATGGCCCTCTGTGATGTTGTACTAAGGTGGTATACACTCTGTAAGGTGTATACCTTAGTATACCACTCTGGTAGTACTCTAAGGGGGCACTCAACGGTGGCACTCAGTGACTGTGACTGAGCATCAGGTTGCTATCTTATTGTCCACAATTAGTTTCCAGTTGATCCTGTTTAATGTATGATATATTTTGATTAGATTTGTTGACTCTAAAGGTAAAATTACCCAGAGAACCCTCATGGTTCTCCTTAGAGAAGGAAAAACGGATGTTCGAGTTATTAAAAAATTACCTGAAAAAAAATCGAAGCTGTTTGGAAATATTGGGGGAAAGGGGGAGTATGTTTATACATGTGTGTTGCTTGTGAGTGGATGAATTGATCACTTATAGTGAGAGAAGGGATAGGAAAGCGTGAGAGGTAAGTTGAAAGTGTCTCAATGTAACTCTTCCTTCAACCCCTCCATCCCCCACCTACTTCCTCCCTTCCTTCTCCACTACTGCTTCTTCCCTCCGCCCCTTGGCACTTTCCTCCCAACCCAAAACTCATCCTAACCTTCCAGGGTGCCAAGGAAACGAGGTGCCAGAATGAAATGTCACTCCTGGGGATTAGAATTGCAAGATGAATTGAGACGAACATATCTCCAGGCGCTCTTCAAGTCGCTTGCACACACACACACACACACACACACACACACACACACACACACACACACACACACACACACACACACACACATGGGGGGGGGGGGTCTGGTAGCTGAGTAGATAGTGAGCAGGACTCGTAATTCTGTGGCCCGAGTTCGATTCCCGGACCAGGCAGAAACAAATGGGTAAAGTTTCTTTCACCCTTAATGCCCGTTACCTAGCAGTAAATAGGTACCTGGGAGTTAGTCAGCTGTTACGAAGCTGCTTCCTGTGTGTGTGTGGGTGTGTGTGGAGAAAAAAAAATAGTAACAGTTGATTGACAGTTGAGAGGCGGACCGAAAGAGCAAAGCTCAACCCCCGCAAGCACAACTAGATGAATACAACTAGGTGAATACACGTTTGTTACTGCGCAATATACAGTACATGTATATATATATATATATATATATATATATATATATATATATATATATATATATGTATATATATATATATGTATATATATATATATATATATATATATATATATATATATATATATATATATATATATATATATATATATATATATATATACATATAAATATTAGTATATTTTGGTAGCAGTCTTTCCTGTAGACATATATTATTAAATATGACCGAAAAAGTAAGATTAATAATTCTAACACGAATTTTCTCAATCTTTCGTACATTACGCTTCACTGTTGGAGGTAAATCAATAATCACTTCTCCAAAATTCATTTTTATTTCTAGTCTGACGCGACACGGGCGCGTTTCGTAAAACTTATTACATTTTCAAAGACTTTACAAATACACAACTGATTAGAACTTTCGTATCTCTGATTTTATATCTACATTTAAGTGAGGTGGGAGGGGTGATGTGGCATTAACACAAGACAGAACAAGAGGGGATATTAATAGGGTATTAAAAGTATCAACACAAGACAGAACAGAAACAATGGGTATTGAATAGAAGTGTTTGTAGAAAGCCTATTGGTCCATATTTCTTGATGCTTCTATATTGGAGCGGAGTCTTGAGGTGGGTAGAATATAGTTGTGCATTAATTGGCTGTTGATTGATGGTGTTGACTTCTTGATGTGTACTGCCTCGCAAACGTCAAGCCGCCTGCTATCGCTGTATCTATCGATGATTTCTGTGTTGTTTACTAGGATTTCTAGTAATCCTAGTAAACCAAACAGAAATCATCGATAGATACAGCGATAGCAGGCGGCTTGACGTTAGCGAGGCACTACACATCAAGAAGTCAACACCAGCAATCAACAGCCAATTATTGCACAACTATATTCTACCCACCTCAAGACTCCGCTCCAATATAGAAGCATCAAGAAATATGGACCAATAGGCTTTCTACAAACACTTCTATTCAATACCCATTGTTTCTGTTCTGTCTTGTGTTGATACTTTTAATACCCTATTAATATCCCCTCTTGTTCTGTCTTGTGTTAATGCCACATCACCCCTCCCACCTCACTCAAATGTAGATATAAAATCAGAGATACGTAAGTTCTAATCAGTTGTGTATTTGTGAAGTCTTTGAAAATGTAATAAGTTTTACGAAACGCGCCCGTGTCGCGTCAGACTAGAAATAAAAATGAATTTTGGAGAAGTGATTTTTGATTTACCTCCAACAGTGAAGCGTAATGTACGAAAGATTGAGAAAATTCGTGTTAGAATTATTAATCTTACTTTTTCGGTCATATTTAATAATATACATATATATATATATATATATATATATATATATATATATATATATATATATATATATTGACCTTGCACTGTCACATTCAATTAATATAATAATGTGACAGTGCAAGGTCAATGATTGTAGAGTGAATTTTTTCTATTTTCTAAGGAATTTTAGGAAAGTCAAGAAATATATTGCGGTTTTTTTATTTTATTTTTTTTTGTAACACAGCTTATCTCTAAACCTCTTCTGTAAAATAATTATTTAAGTGCTTGATACTTCGGGCAGACTTAGGGGAAAAAAATAATCCTTTCACAACTTTGAAAGTGTGTAAACATGGCAGGTAAAGAGACCACAGCACGTAATTAAAACGTGTATATTTAGTTAAGCAATGAACCACAAGCCCACTGGAGGTGCATGTGTGGCGGGTTGGCAATGAACTCGGCACTCACTACACACACACACACACACACACACACACACACACACACACACACACACACACACACACACACACCTCATTGGTTTTACTGTAAAAAGAGCATTTAAAATATTCGAAAAATATTTTTCCTTCCTTTCTGCCAGCTGGGCTTTGGAGTGTTGTGATTCCATTGCCTTTCGATGTCGCTTATAATGATCCCAATTTATTCTGGAAATATGCGAAAGGCGTATTATAAATTGAGAGAGAGAGAGAGAGAGAGAGAGAGAGAGAGAGAGAGAGAGAGAGAGAGAGAGAGAGAGAGAGAGAGAGAGATTTGCAGTTCCCATATTTGTGTAGAAACTTTCTAGTGTAATTTGTCCCTTTCCAATCTTCATTACCTTACACATGTTGAGGATAAACTCTAACAGCCCACTCCTGGAGTCTGTCAAGATCTTCCTGTAATCTCCCCAAACCACTTTAACTTAATCTTCAGACACCTAAACAATCGTTCACTCATCCTAAGTAGTTTCATTGCAATTGGCTAAGAACCAAAATATTCACACCACTGGAGAAACACTCTCTAAGCTATGCCTTCTTGACAATCCAAATGTTTCTCAACGAGGCATGCAGCATGGCTAAACGAACATCGTTCTCAAACAACACAATCACAGCGAGATTGGGTGACAGTGTTGAGGATATCAAACAGGTGATTGAGATTTTAAATGTTGCTCCAAATTTTTGTCATATTGATGAAGGAATTCCCTGACAGGCACGCTCTCCAAGCTTACTGTCTCCGTTCGCAGCCACTTAGTGACTGTGAAGAAATTCCTCTTCTGACATCAAGCTGTATTGGAAATAGCTTGAGTGGGCTTGAATTCAGCTTGAGCTTGAATTCAAAACAGATTGAATTCAATAGCTATTAAATTAATAGCTCCACCTTTTCCAAAAGATAAAAAATACAGTTGGAATCATTTGGGCAGGTGTCTGTACAGACAGAGCAAGATGGATAAATAGGTCTTAAATCTACTTTCATCGGATTTGGGAAGCAGAGGAGACCTGTGATTGAGTTACCACAGAGTATTGCGTCGAGACACTCTTTTTCTCGGAAACTCTTCCAGAGTCATGGCCAGATTCTATCGGAATCGAAATCAAAAAGGTCCATTTTCTCAAGGGAGAGGCCTTAAGGAGGTCAAAGCCTCTCTAAAGCAGCAGCACGAGATCAATCTATTCTCCAAATTTATTCAGCCCAAACTGAAGGCTCGTTTTCTATCTCGGACGACTCATTTGAAGCTCACAGATAGTTTGAAGGTATTTATCGCTAAAGACAACCTATTGAGTTGAATTATCCAAGAACCATATTTTTTCCTACTGGCTGACTAAGGCTCACGATGGACCCAAAGACTTAAAGAAGAGATTGCTGAACACGTAAATCATTTTGCAGTTTAGTCAATATATATACTTTCCGTTTGTCGTGATGGAGGTTGCAAGAATCACCTTAAATCTGATTCCTTCAAGTGCGTAGGTAGCAGTGAAGGATACCTGAGCTAACGAAAAAAAATATTCTTTAGCCTTCCTTCTCTCAGGCCCAAGATATACCCTGTATACCCCTCACTATCCATCCCTGTACCCCTCACCTGTTCATCCCTGTACCCCTCACCTGTTCATCCCTGTACCCTCACCTGTTCATCACTGTACCCTCACCTGTTCATCACTGTACCATCTCTCCAGTACTCACCCAATTGTCCAAGGCATCGTGACGCTTGATGAGTTCCTCCTGGATCTTCTCCCCCACACCTGATGGCTTGCCAAACTCATCTACGATAGCCGCCGCCTCCCGGTACTCATCTTCACGCAAGACGGGCCTCAGGTGAGTCAGGTACCAGGTGAGGGTGTGGCCCAGGGGAGGCACCGGCAGCTTGGGCACCAGTGGGTACTGTGGAGTGATAACCAGGTGAAGTTAAGTGTCAGGTGCAGGTTATCCTGACGGAAGTTCAGAGGCTGTGAGGAGTTAGGTTTGTCGGGTTTAACTAGGACAGGTGGCTGCTGGACTAGGGTAAGAGTTGTGGCTAGGGACTAGGGTAAGAGTTGTGGCTAGGGACTAGTGAGAGGGTTGTGGCTAGGGACTAGTGAGAGGGTTGTGGCCAGGGACTAGGGGAAGGGTTGTGGCTAGGGACTAGTGAGAGGGTTGTGGCCAGGGACTAGGGAGAGGGTTGTGGCTAGGGACTAGGGAGAGGGTTGTGGCTAGGGACTAGTGAGAGGGTTGTGGCTAGGGACTAGGGAGAGGGTTGTAGCTAGGGACTAGTGAGAGGGTTGTGGCTAGGGACTAGGGAGAGGGTTGTGGCCAGGGACTAGGGGAAGGGTTGTGGCTAGGGACTAGGGAGAGGGTTGTGGCTAGGGACTAGTGAGAGGGTTGTGGCTAGGGACTAGGGAGAGGGTTGTAGCTAGGGACTAGTGAGAGGGTTGTGGCTAGGGACTAGTGAGAGGGTTGTGGCTAGGGACTAGGGAGAGGGTTGTGGCCAGGGACTAGGGGAAGGGTTGTGGCTAGGGACTAGGGGAAGGGTTGTGGCCAGGGACTAGGGAGAGGGTTGTGGCTAGGGACTAGGGAGAGGGTTGTGGCTAGGGACTAGTGAGAGGGTTGTGGCTAGGGACTAGGGTAAGGGTTGTAGCTAGGGACTAGGGAGAGGGTTGTGGCTAGGGACTAGGGTAAGGGTTGTAGCTAGGGACTAGGGAGAGGGTTGTGGCTAGGGACTAGGGTAAGGGTTGTAGCTAGGGACTAGGGAGAGGGTTGTGGCTAGGGACTAGGGAGAGGGTTGTAGCTAGGGACTAGGGTAAGGGTTGTGGCTAGGGACTAGGGAGAGGGTTGTGGCTAGGGACTAGGGTAAGGGAGAGCAACTAGGGACTAGGGATTGTGGCTAGGGTCTCTCACAAGATACATTGAGATGAACAATATGAACATTCAGTTTTTTAACAATTATAATACAAAAATTAGTGATGAATGAAGGTAAAATACTGTACGATTACCAAAACTTTAAAAAATTTGATTATAATTGACACCAGTGATTTGCAGATATATATAAGCCTGAAAACAAAAATAAAATTTTTAGGTACTGTATACATATATTTTTTAAACATATTAAGGAAGCCTTAATGCAAACCAAACATAGGTGAGACCTGGTCGAGGACCGGGCCGCGGGGACACTAAAGCCCCGAAATTATCTCAAGATAACCATCTCTCAAGATAGGTGAAGGCACATACAGAGACTAAACACGAACACGGGAAAACGTGCCCTTAAAAAAAAAATCCCAAGAAGAACATCACTTTTTACCATCAACACACAAGAATTGTAGCATAAATTTATTTCATTTAAACAAAACACCGTTTTCTTTCACTCATTTGTAAATATTTACCTCTGAACGCCCAGGTAGAGTCAACAGTGTCATTACCATAATTGGCAGACTTTTCCCAGGCGAGTCCTAGTCATTACGTAGAGTGTGTTATGGTCTCATAGTCTGGCTAATTCATTCTTGCACAACTCATCAAGTCTTCTCTATCCTTTACACTCCTTTTCTCTTGCTTCTACGTCTCTCTCTCTCTCTCTCTCTTTTATTTAATTTACCTGTCATTCCTGGGTTGAATTAAATAGATTCATTTATAGTAGGGAGATTTACGCCGTAGACCATACACGGCCCCTGCCAGCTGAGGAGCTGCACCAGCTGGCAGGTAGGCCAGGTAAGGCATGCTCTATGGCGTAAGGGGTTAATGTGGGCGTGTGGTTCCTCCATCTTTCGACATCTGCTTGCAAAGTGGTTGGGTGTCTAGCATGTTTGATTTAACTCCTCCAGCTGTGTGTGTGTGTGTGTGTGTGTGTGTGTGTGTGTGTGTGTGTGTGTGTGTGTGTGTGTGTGTGGGTGTGTGTGTGTGTGTTTGGTCTCCTAGAAGGTTATGAGGGAGAGCCTTCAGAGTGTGACTACTTTCCTCCTGCAGGCAGTGTGTTTAGAATGAAGAGACGAAATATATATATATATATATATATATATATATATATATATATATTATATATATATATATAATATAATATATATAATATTTATATACTTGCGTAAGTAGCTTTGAGGTGACATCATGTGCAGGAGGATCTTCAAGGATTATCTCCCTCCATCCTCTTGTATAGAGTTGAGAACGAGGAGGAGGTCTTAGAAGGAGGACACAAGGCATCGCGTGGGAGTATCTCCAGAGATAACACTCGCTAAAACACTATTTCCTTCAGGAGGCTATGAGCGCCCGCACCTGCTGGGGCAGGTACCTGGAGATCATTACGTGTGTCTGCATGGCACGGGGGCTGAAGGAATACTGTGAAGTATAGTGTGGGGTGTGGCCTGTCTTACCTAACCCCCCCCCCCTATTTGCCCTACCCACCCCACCTCTTCTCTCTCTAAATTACATTGGTAAGCCGTCTTAAAACACACAATAAGATCAAATAAGTTTGACTGACTACTTGAACCAACCAGTGGTCATATCTTACTTGGGATCACCCCAACCCATACGTTCACCATCATTATCTATCAATGAACAACACACACACACACGCACACAAACACACACACACATAGATACATAAATCACAAAACACAACGCAATGCACAAAACACAAAACATAGACAATGTAACACATCACACAAAACACAACATACACAACACACAAACTACTATGAACTACCATCAGAGTAGTTAACAAATGGAATGCTTTAAGTAATGATGTGGTGGAGGCTGACTCCATACACAGTTTCAAATGTAGATATGATAGAGCCCAGTAGGCTCTGGAATCTGTACACCAGTTGATTGACATTTGAGAGACAGAACCAAAGAGCCAGAGCTCAACCCCCTGCAAGCACATCTAGGTGAGTACACACACACATGTTATTCTGCTCCACGTTTCACTACCAGACAAAACATCAAAACATCTGAGTAATTTGACCAACTGGACTAAAATAAGCGATTACGCGATAGCACCAGGTATTATCTGTCTGCCTGGCTGCCTGTCTACCGGCAGATTCAGGTAAGAGTCAAGGAGAGGATGTAACAATAAGAGAGAGAGACGTTCATGTATTTTAATGCTCATCCCTCAACCCGTTCTCGCACTTTCGTATAGTCAATATTGACTTATTAAATACGTGCATATGTGACATACTAATTTATTGTGAATATTTTAGTTTACCTTGAAAAGCTTCGTAGAAAACACTGACCTTACCTAACCTTCTTAGTATGTTAAGATAAGCATCTTATTGCTTCGTAATTACAATTATTACTTAACCTATACCTATAATAGGTTAAGTAATAATTGTAATTACGAAGCAATAAGATGCATATCTTAACATACTAAGAAGGTTAGGTAAGGTCGGTGTTTTCTACGAAGCTTTTCAAGGTAAACTAGTATGTTTAGTATGTCACATATGCACGTATTTAATAAGTCAATATTGACTATACCAAAGTGCGAGAACAGGTTGCATCCCTACAAATACACAGACACATACACACATGTACTAGCGGTTTTTGTGATGTGTACAGATAGACGAGCGAGTTTGCTTCCATCTCGTACCTGCCTCTACCACCATCATCTTAAACTACCAACAGATAAGACCTCCCTGGACACTGTTTTAAAAAGAAATCTCACACACATCTGCATTTCACACCGCAAGACAAAGAGAGAGATAAGACTGGACGTCTGACATGCTATCAAACGATATTCTCAGTGACATAATGATTACCCTCAAACTCGTCAAAATATTATTCTATCAAAAGTTATTTCTCAGAGTCATTGAGAATACTCAATTTATTTGCAGACGAGGAGTCACAATAACGTGGCTAAAGTATGTTGACCAGGCCACACACTAGAAGGTGAAGGGACGACGACGTTTCGGTCCGTCCTGGACCATTCTCAAGTCGATTGTCAATCAGTCGACTTCAGAATGTCAAAAAAACTTGTCAAAAAGACAATCGACTTGAGAATGGTCCAGGACGGACCGAAACGTCGTCGTCCCTTCACCTTCTAGTGTGTGGTCTGGTCAACACTCAATTTATTGTTATTCATCACCAGTAGTGGGGTTGGGGGGGAGGGGGGGTAACTATATTGTAACTTCACGTCGGACAACGTGATAATTGTCGGTTAGTTACTCATTCCTTGGAATGATATATAATGAAGAATATCATGACGTTCCACAATATCATTTGTGGAAAAAAAGTGTTTCATAAAATCAAGTCAATATTATCCGTAAACAAACATAGTTTGGGATGATGTTTAAGATTCGCTGCCTGGAACAAAGAGTTCCAGGTAGCACGGGCTATGGTGAGCCCGTAGTTAGTTTGGGATATGATGATCACTGAAGCATTAGTCGCACTGCACGATAAGACTAGGCAGCGAGTATATGACCCCGGAAAAGCCTTACATGTGAATGAAATAATATTCAAGAAAAGGCTTCTTGAAGCCGTTCCTTCTTGAAAGGAACCAGGCCTTACCTTGCCCCCCCCCCCACACAACAACTGTCCTCAGGGCGCATCAGGGCGCGATAAACCACACCTTCCTGTCTCATTATAGCTACAAGATCCTGGTATAATTCTCCAGACCTCCGAAGGAAACAATTTAGTTATGCATCGACACCCTTCATGGCTGAATGATGGCTTCTAATTTGCCTCCATATTCCTTTCCATTGGTGGAGGAATTTGTTAACCAGTAGTTGTTGTATTCACCTAGTTGTGCTTGTGTGAGAGTTGAGCTCTGGCTCTTTGGTCCCAGAGAGTTGAGCTCTAGCTCTTTGGTCTCGCCTCTCAACCTTCAATCTACTGGTGTACAGATTCCTGAGCTTCTCGAGCTCTGTTATATCTACGTTTGAAAATATGTGTGTGTGTGTGCGTGTGTTTTTTTTTGTGTGTGTGTG